GGGCAAGCACCCCCCCCCCCCCGAAAAACCAAATGAAATTTATATATTTTATATAGAAAATATATACTTTTAACAGTGTCCGCCCCCCCCCCCCCCCAAAAATTTCAAGTGCCCCTTCCCCCCCCCCCCCCGGAGAAAAAAGTCTGGAAGAAAACACTGTACATATACGACATTATACGACATCTACAACAAGAAAGTCAGGACTAGAGTTCATCAGGTCACTAACTGACTACTACAGACATCCCGTCTGCTCACTAAAAGGAAGTCTTCATCGGTCCGCATACAATAGGGTATCTCTTTACGTCGTGGGCTAATTCTCGACCGCCATCTCCAGTCAGCTCAGGTCAAATGCCAGGCGACCAGAGGCGTAGCGAGGGGGGGGGGCGGGGGGGGGACATATGTCCCCGGGCGCCGACCTTAGGGGGGCGCCAAATTGAAAGTTTGAGGGGGGGTGGGGGTGCAAATGAAAAGTTCGAGGTGGGGGGGGGTGCAAATCGAAAGTTTGAGGGGGGGGGGTTGCAAATGAAAAGTTCGAGGGGGAAAGTGCAAATCGAAAGTTTGAGGGGAGGGTGCAAATGAAAAGTTCGAGGGGGGGGGGGCGCAAATCGAAAGTTTGTCCCCGGGCGCCGGGAGGGGTCGCTACGCCTCTGCAGGCGACCGTACCCTACACAAAGGGGAGGTGTGACACTATTTTTGTATCGAATTACGGCCTGTCCCAGTTCAGGTGGGACCTCACCAACATCAACCGTGGCCTCAGTTATAACAATCAACAACGTCGGCATTCGACCATTTAGTTTTTCCCAATTGAATTCAGCAACAATTTTTTTTTTAAGTTTACGAACCAATTCAGATAACAATGACATTGCTGAAGCGCGGGGCCCCTTCAAGCGCGGGGCCTATGGCGACCGCCCCGTTCGCCACCCCCTAACGCCGGCTCTGATATATATATATATATATATATATATATATATATATATATATATATATACATAAAGGCCTTTTATTTATACATATATTATATGTACCATATTTTACTTTCTTTCTTCCCCTTTCTCCATCTCTCCCCCCCCCCCCTCTCCATTCTTTATCTTCCTCTCACACTCGAGAATCAAATGAAATAATAAAAACAGATACTGCTCTATCTACAATTGAATTCTAAAAGGTTAACCAGTACAGGAGAGATTTTTTTTTTTTTTTTGAAAGTTTGTCTACAGTTCTTTAAGTGATAAACAAAAACGTTGTAGAACTGCCAAAGCTAATACAACATTTTACATCCGCCAGAGCCAATAATTTTTTTTTAAAAGGAAAACAATAGAACGCTTGTTTTGTTTTGTCGGCATACACCTCATTTGTATAATACGTAGCTACTACTCTCACAAGTGTGAGGGGACTTGCACGCAGTTACCGACGTCGTGTACCCACGTCCAGATGCCCTTAATACGATTCCTTCAAGGGATTTGCTATACATCCCCTGGGACCGTCCCCGTCTCGCCGACCCGGGGTCCAGGGACTGGACTCAGCCCGGGTGGTAGGGACGTTTCCAGAGCGGCGCCATGTTTTTGTCGTTCTTGCTCTCGTCTGCTGAGTATCAAGACTTCCCTGGATTAGAATGAAATGTGCACTGGCTGCCCCAGAAGGGACGGAGTGGTCCTTGTGTGGTGTGGGCTAATGTTTAGTGTTTGCGGCCGGTGGATCTAAAACTATACAGGGATGGACCCCGTTGTTTTAACATGTTTTTAGCTAATATAGGCTGCACTTAAATATGATAAGGCCCTACTGGAGACACTAACAATGAAATACATAACTAAGAATGTCATAAATATTTTTCTCCCTAAGTTTTTTTTATAGAGTTGTTATCTAGTACTGGTACCAGAGGCGTAGCGCCCCCTACGGGGACAAACTTTCAATTGGGCCCCCCCCCCCCCCCCCCCCCCCCCATATATTTTTTATATTTATAATTCAAAACTGCATCTAAAATGAGCTTTTAGTTTTTTTTTTCCAGCTTATTTTGGCATCCCCAGGGTCGGCGCCCGGGGACATATGTACCCCCCCTCCCCGTCGCTACGCCTCTGACTGGTACTAAGTATGAACTTACTTCAGATTAATATAAGTTCTTTATAGAGTTGCAAAGTAATAATGGCACTAAAGATGAGTGAATATGAACATTCCAGAAATGCAGAGTTATTAAAAGAAATTTTAACAATAGGGTGCTTTTTAAAACTTACACATTAAGTCGGTAGGTCCCTGTGGCAGACGAAGTAGAGTTCATCTGGGGTTTTTTTTTCTGGATTTGGCATATAAAGGGATAGTGTGGTCGCGCTATGTCGAACTTGTCGGTTTGTTCGATACCCATCAAATTTTAGGACGTCGTTCAGACTCAACCAGCACAAGACGTTTTTTCTGTTTGTTTTTTTAAATTAATGAAACCAAGGGACTTAATCAAAACAATTTAACCAGCTATCCGTAAAATTGCTTATCCCCCTTGTATTGGAATGGAATGCCTGAGAAAGTTACTATGGCTACATTGTGCATTGGATTCATGTGAAGTGAAACATGATTCTTTTTTTCGTATAGATTTTTAGCATAAAAAAATGTGAAGCATTAATGGCGTCATATTCTTAAGCGGGGGGGGGGGGGGAGAGAAGGAGAGACGACTGAGGGTCGGACTTCTGACGAGGGATTTTTTACATTTTTTTTTTTTGAAAAAAAAAATACTTCGTGAAACGTAATCTTAGCAGTTAATCCAGCTTTGTCAATTAATTTTATAAATTGTAATAACTGATTCAATAAACTAAAGATGGCCGAATGCTTTGTTTGGTTATTTAAGACATCATTGTCTTCTCATGTAGTCTAAGCTGTTTTTTCTTATGCCAGTATATAAAATTTGAGCTACTTTTGCATATGGGCTGAGTTCTCCCTTCTTGCACCATTTAAAAATTGTAATACTAAGATATTTTTTTTTTTACATTAACAAATACAATTCTAACTAATAGTTGAGTAGGGGGGGGGGGGGGGGGGGGGGGTGGCGGTTACTAGTGAAAGTTTATATTTTCTATATAAATTCTATTTCTTTTGATGAGATGCCTGAAAAACTCTGCTGAGGCTTTACATTTGCTTCACAAGGTGTAAAAAACTTATTAAAATAATTTTGAAAATAGATTAATGAATCTAATATTGATATAAATTTTATTTAATTGTCAGTATTAGTGATTAGAGACGTTTTCGCTTAAATCAACTTACAAGCAATAAAATTATTATTTTGTTATTATACATACAAAGGGAGACAGCGCATTTAATATTTTTGCCAAAATTAACTTGACTTGGTTATATACCCTTATGGGAAAAATGTAATATTATGTTATTAACTATTGTTATTCTCAGTTTGTCTCCTCCTCTCATCACAAAATTTCGAACCTCCTTACCAGGAAGATAAACAGAGTTTCTTCCAGGCATCTCTTCGGGGTCAGTCTACCGCCCCCCCCCCCCCACTCCCGAAAATTTCAAGTGAACCACACCATTAGAATTAACGTACCACATTTTGCAACTTATTGGATGACTGGGGGCAGAAGAAACCCCCTTCCCAAAACTTTATCAGTTAAAATATTGTGTTAGGGAGTACCCATCCTATAGTGTAAGAAGAGAACCAACTATAAAATTATTTTTCTTTGTTAAACTTGTCTTATATAATAGAAAATATGGTCCATATATGTATTAATTTGTATAAATGTACATTTAATGAATGCATATTTATGTGTATATCACTATGTGTATGTATATATTTATGTATATCTATAATTTATTTATATATTTGTAAATGTATGTATCTATGTATATCTATATGTATTGTAAAAGCCACATTTTAATATATAGATTAAGACTTTATAAAGTTTATAAAAATCTGAACAAAAAAAAATGTTGAAATCATCGTTAACTTGTTAAAAGTGGTTTCAGAATTTATTGAAGAGTTACCACAGAACAAGCAATAGATTATGTTTGATCAAACTAACTACCTTGGGTTTATTTCATAGAACACACATACAAATATGTATGTAAATATAAATATATGTAAAAGTTTTATTCTAAAACTTCAAGAAAATAATCAGTAGAAAATTTTTTTTTATGCTTCACAAAAAGTAAATAAAGCACATTTAATTGTTTTTAAAATTATGTTTACATATGTATGTACAATGCATATTATATTTTCTTGCCATAATAACTTTGGATAAAAAGTTAATAAATTAAAACTTAAATATTGTCTATTCATTGTCAATACTGCGGGTGAAGTAGAGTTCACATCTTGAGGCCAACCATACAGAAGTCACCAGCATAAGTGAACCCCCCCCCCCTTTATTGTGTGTCCTCAGATACCCTACTTAAACATTCATCTGATTTTAGACTTAATTCTGTGGTTGTGGTCTATGCTAAAGAGAAATAAAGCTAAACTTATTTACTAGACATGCTGATGTGAATATACATGCAATACTAAATTTGATAAGTAAAAAAAATTAATTTACCGGGAATGTCAGTGCCAGTTTCAGCTTTCTGTTCTCAGACACCTACAAGTGGACAACAGACTAAAGTTTCTGACTAATCTAACTACCCACATTGTAATCTTTAGACAACCAGATAGCTTCATATCCCCTGTTTTATTTTCAGGCACCTTTATATTTCATTAAATATTCTTCAGATAATCAAATTGCAAGAGCATGGAATTTATATTTTATACATGCCAAAAAAATTTAAAGTCTATAATACCGGTATATGCAAAAACTAGTGACTAAATAATTGAGGTGAGACCGTAACAATAAGCTACAACAACAAGAAGATTATGCTGTAAAAGTTGAAGCATTGATACACCAGCTTGGTGTGGATGCATCCATAGAGAGGAATGAAAGACTTCTTAAAGCCATGTGTACAGTGGGATACAACAGCAACAGACACACCAGTGGGGAACAAACTTGTTGGAAATTTGTTTGGGTGTAGGAAACTTGTTAGAAAAATGTGTGTAGGAAACTTGTTGGAAATTTGTTTGGGTGCAGCAAATTTGTTGGAAATTTGTTTGTGTGTAGCAAATTTGTTGGAAATTTGTTTGTATGTAGCAAACTTGTTAGAAAAATATTTGTGGAATAAACTTGTTGGCAAAATTATGTCAGAAAAATTGTTTAACTAGCAAAATTGCTAGGAAAATTGTTTGTGGGTAACATACTTGTACGGAAAATGTTTGTGTAACAAAGTTATTAAAAAAATATGTGTACCAAACTTGCTGCAAACAAAATATATGCGTAATTGTTCAAAATATTTTTTTTATGTGTAACATACTAGTTAAAAAATGTGATGTATCATTGTTACAAATTTTAAATTTAAGTACCAGTACTACACAACAATTCATTTTTTATGTTAAGTTACAGTTAATATAAACAGTTTATTTTAGTTTCTGCTGACAATAAAAAAATCTATCTCTTACATTTATAGCTCAATTGTATTTTTAAAAATATTACAAAGTAATTTGTCCCAATTTCTGATTAATGTTAAGTCAGTTAAATCAATAAATTAATTAAATTAACGGGTACTGTAAAGAAACTGGTACCAAGGACCAAATCACACACAGGCGAGTAGACTAATGAGCGTACAAATGATGGTTGTCAGGAGAAGGCTGGCTACGTTGAGCACCACGGCGCCATCTTTGTCACACTTGTTGTTGGCACAGGACCCGTCCAGCGACAGAGAAACTTCCTTGCCGTTTTCTGTCACAAAAATATAATCATTTTACTAAATTAGCAGCCTATCTAATGAAAACGATCTTTATAATTAAAATTTGCATAATGACCAGCCATTACCTGGATCATAATAAGGATAGAACTTGGCCGCTCCAGGCTTCTGTACCTCAAACACCAGCTGCCTCTCCACATGGGCCTTCAGACAGTAGCCATCACCAGAGGGGGCCTGATCAAAGGGTCAAGGTCATGTCCATTAAAATGAGGGGGACTAATTTATTTTTGCTTTACAGCTATGTTAAATAACATAAACATATTTTTTTTACATACTTTTAAAATTGTATTTTTCTAAATTGTGGGATTGATTTTAAATGTCAACTATCCACTCACCTGATCCATGTAAAAGTGGATGGTCTGCTCATCCGTATCCACCCTAGACACCATGGGATTGTTGGCCATGATTTGAGCTGGGTCCTCATAGGGCCTCTCCCCAGAAGGTAGATTCATAGTGGCCACAAACATGCCTTTGTTTTGTAAGGGGCTGGTGCTAAAACACCCAGGTTATCATAAGTAACATATATATATATACAGTAATATCAATGAATAAAGCAGTTGACTTTCTCTTCTCATAAATAAAATATTATTATGAGTACTTGTATTTAATTGGGAAAAAACTTGGTGTTCCCTTGTTATACAAAATTATTATACAATTGGGATGACTGACCTTTTAACACAGGCCTCAATAGCATGTAAATAGGGTGAGATTTTTGTTGCCTTGGTGCTGAGGTATAAAGTAGAATCCAGTGGTGCTGCATCATCATCACCAGCGTACGTGTGGTATGTGTAGACTACCTGATGAAGTAAGGTTGGATTAGTGGCTACCTCAGTGTAAATAGGTGAGGTATGTGTAGACCACCTGATGAGGTAAGGTGGGATTAGTGGCTACCTCGGTGTAAATAGGTGAGGTATGTGTAGACCACCTGATGAGGTAAGGTTGGATTAGTGGCTACCTCAATGTAAATAGGTGAGGTATGTGTAGACCACCTGATGAGGTAAGGTTGGGTTAGTGGCTACCTCAGTGTAAATAGGTGAGGTATGTGTAGACTATCTGATGAGGTAAGGTGGGATTAGTGGCTACCTCAGGATAAAGTGAGGTGAGGTATGTATAGACCACCTGATGAGGTAAGGTTGGATTAATGAGAGATAATGGTTTAATAAAGCCAAATATTTCAATAGCTACTTACTTTGACAACTGCGACTGACTTAGAACCAATGAGATTGACTTTCACAACTTGGGTATTTTCTGGCAACTGGAAACACAGAATTTGTCAATAAGTAACAAAGCGGCACAAAAGACATTTAAAACCTCCACTGAATGTAAATAAACTGGCTACCTACCAGGAAAATCTGCAGCAACAGTGACCTTGAGCCAGCAATACTGTGGTTGAGTGGCTGGTTATTGTCAGCCTGTACAGTGATGGACCCATCAGCTTTAGTGGTACCAAAGATAGAACCAAACTCTGAGATAGCCTGGAGCACCATGATTGTGTCCTGTGAGAGGTTGGAATATGAAGAATAGCTGAGTTTACAATTTAAAACAGATAGGTTTAAACAAATGTAATAGCTAGAGCTGATACGTTAAAACAGAAAGATAAAAATACTTCGGTAAAATACTATTTAATACATACTGTGTAGGTAATAAAATAATACATACTGTGTAGGTACTAAAATAATACATACTGTGTAGATACTAAAATAATACATACTGTGTAGATACTAAAATAATACATACTGTGTAGATACTAAAATAATACATACTCATACTGTGTAGATAATAAAATAATACATACTGTGTAGATACTAAAATAATACATACTGTGTAGATACTAAAATAATACATACTGTGTAGATACTAAAATAATACATACTCATACTGTGTAGATAATAAAATAATACATACTGTGTAGATACTAAAATAATACATACTGTGTAGATACTAAAATAATACATACTGTGTACATAATAAAATAATACATACTGTGTAGATACTAAAATAATACATACTGTGTAGATAATAAAATAATACATGCTGTGTAGATACTAAAATAATACATACTGTGTAGATAATAAAATAATACATACTGTGTAGATACTAAAATAATACATACTGTGTAGATAATAAAATAATACATGCTGTGTAGATAATAAGATTGATTGATGAGTTTTTCCACAAGATACTTAGTCCTACCATTTTATTAGTAACAAATAGTATGGTAGGACTAAGTGTCTTGTGGAAGATGTATGAACAGTAAGGTAGCACATACCTGTGTACTCTGGAATCCACCATTGCTGTTCTGTTGTGACTGTAGCCACTTCATCAAGGGCAGACCATCCGGGACTCTACCCAGCTTGGTGTAGGCCAAGAGAAGATAAGCCCCAATCTCCAGATCTTTGGTGGAGGAGGTGTGAAGTCTGTATGGTGGGCCTAGGTCAGCATCCTGGTCCACGGCCCCGTCATGAGCTGCAACTTTCTTGAGATTTTCTTTCATCCCTTCTTCCTCTTGCCATGGTACCCCTAGATCTGTTGGTTTTATTTCAATATAGAAACAATCTTTAGAAATGTATCAAATATTGTCAGAAACATCTGATAAAGTAAACACAATGCACAACATATTTTATTTTAGACTCAAAACTGCCCAGATGTATTGTGGTTGTTTTTTGTTTTTTTTTTGGGAGGGGGGGGGACATTTTATGGGATACATGTAAATTTAGATAAAATTCTGAATAAAATTACTAAAAAAAAAAAAGACTTCCAGTGCTAGAAAAAAAAGTTAATCCCACACAAGTCAGACATGTAACAGGGTTAAAACATGTGGTAAATAATTGATTGAGTGTGGTGGTTGTGGCAATCTGTGCTTGGAGACAGGAGAACTAAGCACATGGACCCATTTTATTTGAACACAATATGTAACTAACTCAGCATGAGATAAAGAACTGACCCACATTTGTAACCAACTCAACAAAGTGAGATAAAGAACTGACCCACATTTGTAACCAACTCAACAAAGTGAGATAAAGAACTGACCCACATGTGTAACCAACTCAACAAAGTGAGATAAAGAACTGACCCACATTTGTAACCAACTCAACAAAGTGAGATAAAGAACTGACCCACATTTGTAACCAACTCAACAAAGTGAGATAAAGAACTGACCCACATGTGTAACCAACTCAACAAAGTGAGATAAAGAACTGACCCACATGTGTAACCAACTCAACAAAGTGAGATAAAGAACTGACCCACATTTGTAACCAACTCAACAAAGTGAGATAAAGAACTGACCCACATTTGTAACCAACTCAACAAAGTGAGATAAAGAACTGACCCACATTTGTAACCAACTCAACAAAGTGAGATAAAGAACTGACCCACATTTGTAACCAACTCAACAAAGTGAGATAAAGAACTGACCCACATTTGTAACCAACTCAACAAAGTGAGATAAAGAACTGACCCACATTTGTAACCAACTCAACAAAGTGAGATAAAGAACTGACCCACATTTGTAACCAACTCAACAAAGTGAGATAAAGAACTGACCCACATTTGTAACCAACTCAACAAAGTGAGATAAAGAACTGACCTACGACAACTTTCAAGAGCTGATCCCTGAGGGCCGTGATCTCATTGGTGGGCTGTGGGATGAGGGAGAGGGCGTAGGCTGACAGGGCAGCCAGGAACTTGTTCCCTGAAGCCTGTAGCTCCTCAGGACGGATGTACTTCAGTATGTACTGGCTGGCCTTGGCCATCTCATTCTCCATGCCAATCTTCTTGTCCTTGGACTGTTAAAGAGATTAACTCATTTGGGGCAATGTTGTTTTTTTATGAACTACTAATAACAATAAACATTTAACAATTTTTAGATCTATAACATAAATTTAATATTTTATAGCAGTGGCTGGCATTGCAGCACACACCACATGTATAGATTTTTTTTTTCTAAAGAAATTTAATGATTCAGGAAATAACTTAAAAGGAATGATCTACCCCTTGCCAATAAATAAATAAATAAACATATGTAAAGATATGACAAACTGTGCTGCAATGTGTACAGTGCAGTTACAATGAGCCTAGAATTATATGAGACTTACAGCTAGGGCAGCAGATGCCTCCATAACACTGAGAAACACGTACACTGTCAGGGCATGTCCTGATGCTGTACCAGACTGAGGGAAAAAATCATAAAGAATTATAAAAGTGTATTATTGGGAATGCTAAAGTTATGTATTATTGGGAATGCTAAAGTTATGTATTATTGGGTCTGCTAAAGTTGTGTATTATTGGGTCTGCTAAAGTTGTGTATTATTGGGTCTGCTAAAGTTGTGTATTATTGGGTCTGCTAAAGTTGTGTATTATTGGGTCTGCTAAAGTTGTGTATTATTGGGAATGCTATAGTTGTGTATTAATTATTATTGGGTCTGCTAAAGTTGTGTATTATTGGGTCTGCTAAAGTTGTGTATTATTGGGTATGCCAAAGTTTAGCTATCTCACTAATAGTTTTCTCACTGTTACAAATGTAGTGTTTTGATTCATTTAATTTACAACTTTGTGTCTGACCCAGGTCTTTGTGATAAAGTCTGTGACAAAAGTCTGACCAAAGTCTGTGTGACCAAAGTCTGACCAAAGTCTGTGACAAAAGTCTGTATGAACAAAGTCTGTGTGACCAAAGTCTGACCAAAGTCTGTGACAAAAGTCTGTCTGAGCTACCAACCTGCATCTCTGAGTGGAAGACCACCCCCAGTTCCTGGAACGAGCCATTGTTGCTCTGTCTGGCAGACAAGAACTGGACGCCACTGGACAAGACTTCAGGGTCAACACTGATAAACTCGGAGGCCTGGGAGAAGCTTCTCATCACAAACGCTGTCAGCCTGTTCACATTAGAGGTTCTTCATTAAACACATCACACTTTTAAAACTTTTACTTACACATATCACATTGTTCTACATAAAACACATCAAACTTTAAAAAAATAATTTCACACACACCCTATTAAAAAACTGTCAGTCCATCCACCCCCTAAAACATGTATACCCCATCTACTTAATAATCAATGTGTGTTAAAAGTTACCACAAGTCTTTCAAAAAAAAAATTCACTTTCGAAAATTACCTTTTGAAAATCCAAAGTGTGATGTCACACTTTATGAACTTCTCATTTCCCCTTCTAAATATACTATCACACAAATCTAAATCCCCCCCCTCTACCAAGAGTGTGAAGGTACTATATTTTTTTATTGCAAGTACATTCATTCTTTCAACTAAACAAAAACAGTATCATGTGCATTCACTCAAAATGCTTAGGGAAAAACAATTTTCTTGTGTACACTATCGACCTACACAGAACAAACACCTAAACCTACCAAAGTGTACATTCCCCATATAAACCTACCAAAATGTACATTCCCCATATAAAACCTACCAGTGTACATTCCCCATATAAAACCCACCAAAGTGCATTCCCCATATAAAACCTACCAAAATGTACATTCCCCATATAAAACCTACCACAGTGTACATTCCCCATATAAAACCTACCAAAGTGCATTCCCCATATAAAACCTACCAAAATGTACATTCCCCATATAAAACCTACCACAGTGTACATTCCCCATATAAAACCTACCAAAGTGCATTCCCCATATAAAACCTACCAAAGTGTACATTCCCCATATAAAACCTACCAAAATGTACATTCCCCATATAAAACCTACCACAGTGTACATTCCCCATATAAAACCTACCAAAGTGCATTCCCCATATAAAACCTACCAAAATGTACATTCCCCATATAAAACCTACCACAGTGTACATTCCCCATATAAAACCTACCAAAGTGCATTCCCCATATAAAACCTACCAAAGTGCATTCCCCATATTAAACCTACCAAGGTGTACATTCCCCATATAAAACCTACCAAAGTGCATTCCCCATATAAAACCTACCAAAGTGCATTCCCCATATTAAACCTACCAAGGTGTACATTCCCCATATAAAACCTACCACAGTGTACATTCCCCATATAAAACCTACCAAAGTGCATTCCCCATATAAAACCTACCACAGTGCACATTCCCCATATAAAACCTACCAAAGTGCATTCCCCATATAAAACCTACCAAAGTGCATTCCCCATATAAAACCTACCAAGGTGTACATTCCCCATATAAAACCTACCACAGTGTACATTCCCCATATAAAACCTACCAAAGTGCATTCCCCATATAAAACCTACCAAAGTGTACATTCCCCATATAAAACCTACCAAAATGTACATTCCCCATATAAAACCTACCAAAGTGCATTCCCCATATAAAACCTACCAAAGTGCATTCCCCATATAAAACCTACAAAAATGTACATTCCCCATATAAAACCTACCACAGTGTACATTCCCCATATAAAACCTACCAAAGTGCATTCCCCATATAAAACCTACCAAAGTGCATTCCCCATATTAAACCTACCAAGGTGTACATTCCCCATATAAAACCTACCACAGTGTACATTCCCCATATAAAACCTACCAAAGTGCATTCCCCATATAAAACCTACCACAGTGTACATTCCCCATATAAAACCTACCAAAGTGCATTCCCCATATAAAACCTACCAAAGTGCATTCCCCATATAAAACCTACCAAAATGTACATTCCCCATATAAAACCTACCACAGTGTACATTCCCCATATAAAACCTACCAAAGTGCATTCCCCATATAAAACCTACCAAAGTGCATTCCCCATATTAAACCTACCAAGGTGTACATTCCCCATATAAAACCTACCACAGTGTACATTCCCCATATAAAACCTACCAAAGTGCATTCCCCATATAAAACCTACCAGTGTACATTCCCCATATAAAACCTACCAAAGTGCATTCCCCATATAAAACCTACCAAAGTGCATTCCCCATATAAAACCTACCAAGGTGTACATTCCCATATAAAACCTACCAAAGTGCATTCCCCATATAAAACCTATCAAGGTGTACATTCCCCATATAAAACCTACCAAGGTGTACATTCCCCATATAAAACCTACCAAGGTGTACATTCCACATATGAAACCTACCAAAGTGTACATTCCACATATGAAACCTACCAAGTACTTCCAAAGCTGGATCCTGACCCTTTCTCCCCCCAAGCACTGTAGGATCCATCTTTGTGTCTGTAGTTTTCTATTTGTCTCTGATAACCTGGAAACATTTATCAAAGACACTAATAATTCTTTAATTATCCATTCATAAAGAGCTCAACACTTTAACTGCAATGGAGTTACCTAGGGAAAACAATAGGTGAAACAAAATATAGGTAAAATAAAGTGGGAGTGATCTCCCCTAAACTTTCTGGAATATTCTTACATAACACTACGGGAGATGGCAACTCAGGAAATAGACAAGATTTTTAATCAGTTTTTACATACATAAACTTTATTAAAAAAAAGAATAGAATCTTGTAGAAAAAAGAATTGCACACCAAGTGAACGGCAAACAATTTGTGTTTAATAGTGTGGGAAGAAAACTGACTGACCTACATACATGAGAGCAACATGAATGACCTACATACAGGTAAGTGACCTGATTGACCTACACACAGGTAGATGACCTATCTGATCTACATAATAAGTGATTATATTGACCTACATACAGGTAAGTAATCTGACTGACATGCATAATAAGTGACTTGAAAGACCTTCAAACAAGTAAGTGACCAAACTTACCTACATATTAAGTAACCTACATACAGGTAAGTAACCTGACTGACTTACAGGTAAATGACCTGACTGACCTACTTACAGAGGGACCTGACTGACCTACATAGAGGTAAGTGACATGACTGACCTACTTACAGGTAAGTGACCTGACTGACCTAGATACTAAGTGACCTGACTGACCCACATACAGGTACGTGACATGACTGACCTATCTTCATGTTCTGTGTGAGCTTAAGTTCCGTCTGCTCCAGTCCCTGCTGCCCTGTCCTCCTGATGTACTTGAGACCAAAGATGTTGGGCACTGTTGTGATCATGTTCTGCTCCCCACAGCCAAAGGGCACGGTCACCAGACGGTCCAAGCCAGACAAAGCCTGACCAAATATATCCCCTGAGAAAGTTTGTAAGATGTTAAATTCTAAAGGAAAATAGCATTACAAATTAATTAGTTTAAAATATCATAACAATTAATTACTTTTTAGAGCAAAACAAAACAGAGCTCATAATGTATTTTTAGAAAGTAAATTCTAAAGTAAAGTTAGTAAAGATTAATTACACATGTGACTTTAAAAAATGATAAATAGTGAGCTAGTTAATAAAGAAAAATTACCATTCTAAGATCTGATGAACAGTACTATACTATAATCTATGAAAACTGACCAGTACTAAAATGTATGGAAACTGACCAGGACTAAAATGTATAGAAACTGACCAGTACTAAAAATCAATGGAAACTGACCAGTACTAAAAATCTATGTAAACTAACCAGCACTAAAATCTATGGAAACAAACAATTACTAAAATCTATGGAAACTGACCAGCACTAAAATCTATGGAAACTGACCAGCACTAAAATCTATGGAAACAAACAATTACTAAAATCTATGGAAACTGACCAGCACTAAAATCTATGGAAACTGACCAGCACTAAAATCTATGGAAACAAACAATTACTAAAATCTATGGAAACTGACCAGGACTATAATGTATAGAAACTGACCTGTTCTAAAAATCTATGTAAACTGACCAGCACTAAACTGTAATAACCAGTTCTAAAAAGTACTGACCAGCACTAAACTGTAGTAACCAGTTCTAAAAAGTACTGACCAGCACTAAACTGTAGTAACCAGTTCTAAAAAGTACTGACCAGCACTAAACTGTAGTAACCAGTTCTAAAAAGTACTGACCAGCACTAAACTGTAGTAACCAGTTCTAAAAAGTACTGACCAGTAACCAGTTCTAAAAAATACTGACCAGCACTAAACTGTAGTAACCAGTTCTAAAAAGTACTGACCAGTAACCAGTTCTAAAAAATACTGACCAGTACTAAACTGTAGTAACCAGTTCTAAAAAGTACTGACCAGCACTAAACTGTAGTAACCAGTTCTAAAAAGTACTGACCAGTAATTTTAACCTCCACCCTCTTGGAGTCTGGCACAATCTTCTCATGTGGCCAGTTGATGTGGAACGTGTCATTGAGGCTGTCCCCAGAGCTGACTATTAGAACCTTGGTTAAGGCCCTTGATCTCTCCTCTCCTTCAGGCTAAGGACAGGGAAACATGATTTTAGTTAAGGACAGAGAATTAGGAATTTAGTTAGGGACAGGGAAACATGATTTTAGTAAAGGACAGGGAATTATGAATTTAGTCAGGGACAGGGAAACATGATTTTTAGTAAAGGACAGGGCATTATGAATTTAGTCAGGGACAGGGAAACATGACTTTTAGTTAGTGAAGTAAATATTTTTAAAGCGATAAAAAATGTGTCATTACACCATTTACGTTAAGGAAACAAAGGCGGCTAGGGATAGTGCTGACCACACTATCCCTTCATATACTGAGGTCTATGAATCAGGTGGACTCTACTTCATCTTCCCCATGTGCCTGCGCACAAACAAGTAGAAGACACCATCTAATACCTCAAAAATAAAAAATAAAGCACCAAGGTGTTGTTGTAGAGTGAATTATTTTAATCGGATAAAAAAAATGAAGTGTCATAGTTCCACAGTAACACCAGGACATAGCAGATAGAGACAGTTTAAAAGGTGTATTCAGGGTTCTACACCAAAATATTTCTATAGTGGTGACCACTACAGAACCAAGATATTGACAACCCCAGCAATCAACACAACATGATATGATGAAGACTTTTTTGAAAACTATTTAGTTTTTACCTTTAAAAGTAAAATATTGGCAATGGCTTTGCAAGTTAGCTAACCTATAAGATAGCTTTATTTTAAAAATTAAGTTAAAAAAAAAAAACCAATAGATTTAATAGTTGTGAGGTCACCTTAACGAGCAGCTTCCTGATGACTTCATCTTGCTGCCCATCAGCCTCATCTGTTGCTTTGACATGCAGGTCCATCTGTCCAACTCTTGTGGCATTCAGCTTGTATTCCACACTGGCGGCTTGGTTGGCCTGCATCTAACATAGTACATCAAGTTTACACCAATATCTAACATAGAACATCAAGTTTAGACCAACATTTAACATAGCACATAAAGTTTAGATCAACATCTAACATAGCACATCAAGTTTAGAACAACATCTAACATAGCACATCAAGTTTAGACAAACATCAACATAGCACATCAAGTTTACTATAGACCAACATCTAACATAGCACATCAAGTTCAGACCAACATCTAACATAGCACATCAAGTTTAGACCCACATCAACATAGCACATCAAGTTTACTATAGACCAACATCTAACATAGCACATCAAGTTTAGAACAACATCTAACATAGTAAATCAAGTTTAGAACAACATCTAACATAGTAAATCAAGTTTAGAACAACATCTAACATAGAACATCAAGTTTAGAACAACATCTAACATAGAACATCAAGTTTAGAACAACATCTAACATAGTAAATCAAGTTTAGAACAACATCTAACATAGTAAATCAAGTTTAGAACAACATCTAACATAGAACATCAAGTTTAGAACAACATCTAACATAGAACATCAAGTTTAGAACAACATCTAACATAGAACATCAAGTTTAGATCAACATCTAACATTGAACATCAAGTTTAGAACAACATCTAACATAGCACATTAAGTTTACTATAGACCAACATCTAACATAGCACATCAAGTTTTGACCAACATCTAACATAACACATCAAGTTTAGAACAACATCTAACATAGTAAATCAAGTTTAGAACAACATCTAACATAGTAAATCAAGTTTAGAACAACATCTAACATAGAACATCAAGTTTAGAACAACATCTAACATAGAACATCAAGTTTAGATCAACATCTTACATAGAACATCAAGTTCAGATCATCATCTAACATAGCACATCAAGTTTACTATAGACCAACATCTAACATAGAACATCAAGTTTAGACCAACATTTAACATAGAACATCAAGTTTAGAACAACATCTAACATAGAACATCAAGTTTAGACCAACATCTAACATAGAACATCAAGTTTAGAACAACATCTAACATAGCACATCAAGTTTACTGTAGACCAACATCTAACATAGCACATCAAGTTTACTATAGACCAACATCTAACATAGCACATCAAGTTTAGACCAACATCTAACATAGCACATTAAGTTTACTATAGACCAACATCTAACATAGCACATTAAGTTTAGACCAACATCTAACATAGCACATTAAGTTTAGAACAACATCTAACATAGCACATCAAGTTTAGACCAACATCTAACATAGCACATTAAGTTTAGAACAACATCTAACATAGCACATCAAGTTTAGACCAACATCTAACATAGCACATTAAGTTTACTATAGACCAACATCTAACATAGCACATTAAGTTTAGACCAACATCTAACATAGCACATTAAGTTTAGAACAACATCTAACATAGCACATCAAGTTTAGACCAACATCTAACATAGCACATTAAGTTTAGAACAACATCTAACATAGCACATCAAGTTTAGACCAACATCTAACATAGCACATTAAGTTTAGAACAACATCTAACATAGCACATCAAGTTTAGACCAACATCTAACATAGCACATCAACTTTAGATCAACATCTATTATAGCACATCAAGTTTACTATAGACCAACATCTAACATAGCAAATCAAGTTTAGATCAACATCTAACATAGCACATCAAGTTTACTATAGACCAACATCTAACAAATGACATTAAAATATAATTATAAATATAAAGCTATAAAAAGATTTTAGGAACTCGAGATTAACATTTGAATAGAAATATTTATTAATAGCAACCAATCCAGAAGGTACTTACAGAGACAGGTTTTTCATACCATCCATTGTTTTCCTCTGCACCATCAACAGAAAACTGGTCACTCCTAGCCAAAGCTACAACAGCCTAGGATCAGAACATATGCCATTACTTGACAAGTTAAATGTACTGAAACTATGAAGACATAAAATGTATGAGCTATTCTTTGCTGGAATGAAAGGAATACATTAACATAGGTTTAAATGTGAAATAAAATCACTTGTTGATGTCATTTTGATCGGGTTACTTTCTGACTTTACTATACTTAGCTCAATATTTGCTTAGGTTGTGTAAGATAAATCAATCAAAAGTTGACATGTCTCATAGTATGAGTCAGGATGTGTACATGATGTATCTCATAGTATGAGCAAGGATGTGTCTCACAGTATGAGCCATGATGTGTACATGATGTGTCTCATAGTATGAGCAAGGATTGTCTCATAGTATGAGCCAGGATGTGTCTCATAGTATGAGCAAGGATTGTCTCATAGTATGAGCCAGGATGTGTCTCATAGTATGAGCCATGATGTGTCTCATAGTATGAGCCATGATGTGTCTCATAGTATGAGCCATGATGCGTACATGATGTATCTCATAGTATGAGCAAGGATGTGTACATGATGTGTCTCATAGTATGAGCCAGGATGTGTCTCATAGTATGAGCAAGGATGTGTCTCATACTATGAGCCATTATGTGCCTCATAGCATGAGCCATGATGTGTCTCATAGTATGAGCCATGATGTATCTCATAGTATGAGCCAGGATATGAGTATATGCAGCCAATAGACTCACATTAACATTCTGGTTCCTGTAGTTAAAGACAGTTATCTTGAGGATAAATATCTCCCCTCTCTTGATGGAGTAGGGCAGGTTCATAGACAGGAAAAACAGTTGAAAGGCTGTCAGCTGGAACAAGACAACAACTGTCAAAGTACTGTTAAGGTTTAAATACTGTAACTAATACAAAAATCTTGTTTAAGTACTGGGGTTAAATACTGTAACTAATACGAAAACCTTGTTTAAGTACTGGGGTTAAATACTGTAACTACTATAAAAATCTGATGTTAAAGGACTGTTTGGGGTTAAATACTGTAACTAATACAAAAATCTTGTTTAAGTACTGGGGTTAAATACTGTAACTAATACAAAAATCTGATGTTAAAGGACTGTTTGGGGTTAAATACTGTAACTAATACAAAAATCTTGTTTAAGTACTGGGGTTAAATACTGTAACTAATACAAAAATCTTGTTAAAGAACTGTTTGGGGTTAAATACTGTAACTAATACCTTATGTTAAAGGACTGTTTGAGATTAAATACTATACTGTAACAAATACAAAAATCTTATGTTAAAGAACAATTCTTTGTAATTACTTGGATTAATTTAAAAAATTAAGAATAAAAATTAACGCATTTGACGGGGAAAAAAATATGAAAGAATAGGTGTTTATATTTAATGGTAAAAAATATATGTCAAACAGTGAATCATGTTGAAAGTGTGAACAAAAAACAGCTATAAAATGCAAGAGTGAAATACTGACAACTGTAAAGAAAAAAATGTCTATAAACGCCAACACTATTCAGGCAAATTGGAGTGATGACACATCTGGTTGAGCCCTGCAAGGCCAACACTATTCAGGCAAATTGGAGTGAAGACATATCTGGTTGAGCCCTACCTCAAAGGGTTTCTCAGTGACAGCCAGCCCTTCCCTGTTGATGGCAAAGGCAGAGACCATCCAGCTAGTGATGGTATCAGGGAGGGTAACTCTTGTCCTCATCTTCCCTTGCATGCTGGTGGGCATTAGAATAGCCAGGGTTAAATATTTTTTTAATTGCTTGTAGAAAATTTAATTAATTAATATTTAATCATTGGTAAAAAAAAGTATTTTAATACCCTTAAGTTAATATATTTATTTTAATACCCTTAAGTTAATATATTTATTTTACTTTGATTAAAAAAAAACTAGCACTTACCTCAATTCAAAAACAAGAAACTAACATTTACAAGATACACAAATTAAAACCTAACCTTTACCTTGATACATGAACTAAAACCTAACATTTACATTGACACAAGTTAAAACCTAACATTTACCTTGACACAAACTAAAACCTAATATTTACCTTGACACAAATTAAAACCTAACATTTACCAAGATACACAAACTAAAACCTAACATTTACCAAGACACATAAATTAAAACCTAACATTTACCTTGACACAAAATAAAACCTAACATTTACCTAAACACAAACTAAAACCTAACATTTACTTTGACACAAATTAAAACCTAACATTTACCAAGATACACAAATTAAAACCTAACATTTACCAAGATACACAAACTAAAACCTAACATTTACCAAGATACACAAATTAAAACCTAACAATTACCTTGACACACAAACTAAAACCTAACATTTACCTTGAAACAAACTAAAACCTAACATTTACCTTGACACAAATTAAAACCTAAAATTTACCTTGACTCAAACTAAAACCTAACATTTACCTTGACACACAAATTAAAACCTAATATTTACCAAGATACACAAACTAAAATCTAATATTTACCAAGATACACAAATTAAAACCTAACATTTTCCAAGATACACAAATTAAAACCTAACATTTACCTTGACACAAACTAAAACCTAACATTTACCTTGACACACAAATTAAAACCTAACATTTACATTGACACAAACTAAAACCTAATATTTACCTTGACACAAATTAAAACCTAACATTTACCTAGATACACAAACTAAAACCTAACATTTACCTTGACACAAACTAAAACCTAACATTTACCTTGACACAAATTAAAACCTAACATTTACCTTGACACAAATTAAAACCTAACATTTACATTGACACAAACTAAAACCTAACATTTACCTTGTTTGCCCACTGCCCCACAGCCAAGTGTCAGGAAATTCTTTACGTATTCTTGGTGCTTCTATTACTTTGTACTGGTCATCTTTAGCCATAATTGGAGGTTTAGCAGCCGCTACATCTTGAACATTTTCTGTAGGTAGAAAGTTAGCACATTAAAAGTATGAAACAAGAGTGTTTGAAACTTTTGAGAAAATGAAATCTTTTATTTTACAAGCTTTCAGTACTAATTTTAACAAAAACATTTTTATATTTATTAGATAATTTACTTTAGATTAGCAGTTAAGCTTTGAATTAAACAACATTCTTTAAAAAGAAATTATATGAAATATTAGGTTAATACTTTAAATATAACTTTTTTCTATCTTTTTTTAAAAAAAAAAAAGGGTATTATTGATCAACAATTTTAAATCATGCTAGCTGCATTACAATATATGAAGCAATAAAGCAAAGCATAACTAAATAAACTGAACAGCAACATATAAAAATTTAAAAACCAATAAGGATAAAAATTCAAATTATAAGAATTTAAAATATGTCAGCCTTAATAAAACAGTCAAACTTTTAAAACATTTGTTTTAAAGCTTATTAAAATGATTATCATATTGTTGAAACTACTTATTATTTATATTTATAAATATATATACAAATATATCTAAATTTCTAAATTGCATATAAGTACATGTAAAAATGATTTGTCTATAGCTCAAAATGGGTAAAAATGGGATGCTTTCAGCCAGTGTGGCATCAAAATGACCAATGAAAAAACAGCCCTGACATAAAAGCCCTGTCAAATGGACCCCGTCAAAAGGACCAGCGACATATGGAGCCTGTCATATAGGCTCCAGACAAATAAGCTCCCATTATATAGGCTCATGACAAAAGGACTTCACTCAATAAGGCTCCCGACAAAGAGGCTCCTGACATATAATCTCCCATCGCTTAGCTTCTCTTCTCGGCAAAACAGCTCCCGTCATTATGACTCCCAACAAATAGGCTCCTGTCTATTTGGCTCCTGACAAAAGGACCCCTGACAATACGGTTTCCATAGAGACTTACACTCCTGATGAAACGTCCTCATTGAATATGCCACCTGCCAGTGGGACCCCTTCATCAATATTCTTTAGAGTTAGCTTATCCAACACTCTTATGTAATACAACGTATGCATCTCTTGTTGGGCAGGCCTTATTTTTATAATAGTTTATCTATTATAAAATATAGCATGTTTTAATTTAAGGGTCATCTATATATGACTTCCATAAGTGCGTCGGTTATAGGCTGTTCCAACTCTGTGTGTGGGGAGAGGGGTCCACACTGTACATTCCTTCCTGCAGTATGCTTGTAGGTTATCAAAACAAAATGTGGTTATCCTGTAAATATCATTTACACTTCTGTGCTCGTTTTTAAGCAACAGATCTTTACTGTTGTAAATTAAACATTATCAAAATTTAAAAATTGGTGGAATTTAGCTGTTAAGGGCTTGATTTTCATTCAGGCATTTAAAAAGAGGTTACAGGGGTAGTGGGGGTAGGACAAAATGGTTACTTTATGCCAATAGCAGTCATACCATTCATTTGTCTGGAGCCAATATGTCGGGAGTCATTTTGTCGGAAGCCAATATGTCGTGAGCCCATTTGTCGGGAGCCCATTTGTTGGGAGCCCTTATGTCGGGAGCCAATACGTCCGGAGCCTATTTGTTGGGAGACAATATATCGGGAGCCTAAATGTCGGGAGCTTATAAGCCGTGAGTCAATACGTGATCTTATTTGACTGGAACCAGTAAGTTGGGGTCATTTTGACTGGGTCGTTTTGTCAGGGGTTGATTTTATGGGGTTATATTAAACGAGGCTGTTTTGACGGAGCCGTTTTTATCCCGGGCCATTTAGACAGTGCACCCTTTCAGCCAAATCTTAGAATGGCAAAATTTGCTGTATTAACAATGTGCTTACTTTTTCTTGATATTCTGATCTGGCTGGCCATTTGCAAGATGGCATAGGATGTTTAGCCAAAGTTGAAATTCCGCTTTTTTAAATTGAATATAAATTATAATAATAATTAACAATAATGATGCCTGTTTCATACTCCTTATCAATCAAAGTTCCAAACAACCCACCAGCAGAAGAAAGTAAGGCAGTTTGAATCATCTTCTAATCTCTGTAACCACAAGTTGCCAGATAAACTTTGACAACTCTTAAAATCACACAATTGTTGTTTTTAGATTTGCTCCTCACAATGTAGTACAATAGTGTAGCCTTGACTGCTGGGAAGATGCTATGGTTTGTACAGATTTTACTTCTGTGCCCACAATTCAGTACCCATCCCTAACCTAGAAGTAAACAATGTACCACTTGCCAGATAATTCTTGCAACAGAACATTCAACTTTGGCCAAAGAGACATGGCTGACCAAAGCAACTTACAGATAAATAATTCCAAATACATCAGACTTTGGCCGGACCTGTCAGCCAAAGTGGGAACTGGCCAGCCATTTTCAGAGAAAATAAATCTCATATATTCTTTTTTATTAAAATACCATAGATCCACATTAGGATCTTGATCCCAGAATTGCTTCTAAATAAAATCTAACTAAGGCTAAAAATTTTAATTGTAAAATTCATTAAAAATTTTATAACATTAAAACAACTGTGATCATAAACTGTCAACAAAAATTTGAAAAAGATCCCAATGGAAATGAAAGAGGAGTAGTTAACATAAGGTTGTATAACAAAAATCACCAGACTCATCATTAAGGACAGAAGCCATACGGATTGGTAGTTCTAACAATGGTTCTTCAGCATGAATACTAACATTGTAAGTGAAATCTACCAGACCAAGGCTCTGAAATCATGCAAAGTGAACATCAGCATAGTGCAGCAATATGAACATTGTAAGTGAAATCTACCAGACCAAGGCTCTGAAATCATGCAAAGTAAACATCAGCATAGTGCAGCAATATGAACATTGTAAGTGAAATCTACCAGACCAAGGCTCTGAAATCATACAAAAAACATCAGCATAGTGCAGCAATATGAACATTGTAAGTGAAATCTACCAGACCAAGGCTCTGAAATCATGCAAAGTGAACATCAGCATAGTGCAGCAATATGAACATTGTAAGTGAAATCTACCAGACCAAGGCTCTGAAATCATGCAAAGTGAACATCAGCATAGTGCAGCAATATGAACATTGTAAGTGAAATCTACCAGACCAAGGCTCTGAAATCATGCAAAGTGAACATCAGCATAGTGCAGCAATATGAACATTGTAAGTGAAATCTACCAGACCAAGGCTCTGAAATCATGCAAAGTAAACATCAGCATAGTGCAGCAATATGAACATTGTAAGTGAAATCTACCAGACCAAGGCTCTGAAATCATGCAAAGTGAACATCAGCATAGTGCAGCAATATGAACATTGTAAGTGAAATCTACCAGACCAAGGCTCTGAAATCATGCAAAGGGAACATCAGCATAGTGCAGCAATTTGAACATTGTAAGTGAAATCTACCAGACCAAGGCTCTGAAATCATGCAAAGTGAACATCAGCATAGTGCAGCAATATGAACATTGTAAGTGAAATCTACCAGACCAAGGCTCTGAAATCATGCAAAGGGAACATCAGCATAGTGCAGCAATATAAACATTATAAGTGAAATCTACCAGACCAAGGCTCTGAAATCATGCAAAGGGAACATCAGCATAGTGCAGCAATATGAACATTGTAAGTGAAATCTACCAGACCAAGGCTCTGAAATCATGCAAAGGGAACATCAGCATAGTGCAGCAATATGAACATTGTAAGTGAAATCTACCAGACCAAGGCTCTGAAATCATGCAAGGGAACATCAGCATAGTGCAGCAATATGAACATTATAAGTGAAATCTACCAAACCAAGGCTCTGAAATCATGCAAAGGGAACATCAGCATAGTGCAGCAATATAAACATTATAAGTGAAATCTACCAAACCAAGGCTCTGAAATCATGCAAGGGAACATCAGCATAGTGCAGCAATATGAACATTGTAAGTGAAATCTACCAGACCAAGGCTCTGAAATCATGCAAAGGGAACATCAGCATAGTTCAGCATCAACACTAGCATACAAGCACAAGCTGATGTATGGATTTTTTAAAATGCTAGTAGCACTCTCATTGACAAATTAATAGCTGCTAAATAATTGGTATATACAAGCACTTTAAAAAAAAATTGCAATGAGGGAGTGGGGGGGGGGGGGGGGAAGGAGACACATAGGGACAATAAGTACTATGTAGGGCTGCTGCTTTAAATGCAAGACATTACACCATTTCTTTCTAAATAACTAACAGATTAGAAGAGTTGATTTAACACAGAGTGACAATCTGTACGCCTGATAGTTATAAAATCAAGCAATTATACCAATACTTTCTAGTATTATTAGAACCACAATTAGTAGGATGGCTCAGCTATAATGTCTAAAGAATTTCTACACAGATATAAAGATATATATATATTTGAGAGACTATAACAGATACAGCTAAGTCAAAGATATACTAAATCTACCTAGAGGCATAGGGAGGGCGGGGCGAAAGGGTGTGGGCCCCACAAAGGTGACACCATTTAGGGGGGTGACATCAAGGTAAAAAAATTTGAAAAATATACTGAAGAAAAATATAACAGATACAGCAAACTCAAAGATATCCTACATCTACCTCAACTGTTACAGAGGTTTAGAAATGAGTCTTTCAGCATCTAAATTTTAAACTAAAGCTTGATGACAGCAGTGGATACAGTATACCAGCTGCGGCCATTGTGTAGGTTTATTCAGGCTGCCTCATACAAGTCTTCTAGGATGAGTTTGAGCATTTTTTTTTAAATCATGACAGACATTTACAAATGCTAAGCGATGCTAACAGCAGAGAGCTGAGAAAGCTAAGACAAGGCTCATAATGCTAAATTTTTATTACATTTTTTTTTATCTTTCTAGATTCATTTTTTAAAAAAATCTTCAATCAAACTTCTAAATTATATGTAAAAAGATATCCATTTGAAATAAAAGAAAACATTTCTTGTTACTTTAATGCCATTTTTTTAAAGTAAATAATAGAAGACAGGCAATTTTAAAGTTATTATTCACAATCTTGTAACTAAGCAAGCAAACTCTAGCATGATACAAATTGGTACAACCCTAACCACAAAACTTTTCAATTAAGAACAGAAAATGATTGAAAGCTCAGCAAATGTGAGGAGATATTATTTTTCACATTTCTGGTATTGGTTCTAGGAAAATTCTTTCTTTTTGCCAATTAGAATGTCTACTTTTTAAAAATTTTAAATATGATTTTCTTTAAATTGTAGATTATCAAGTCAAGATTTGTTATTTAAAATTTCTACTAGATGCTTATAATTTAAAGTGACTATCCAGAAACTTCTTATGATAAGAAAATGTTTAAGGATTAGTAATTGAAAAAACAATAACAAACAATTAGGTAGGTAAGCTCAATGGAAAAATGACAAGATTTTAAAACATGCATATTGCCTTTTGACCCACCTCCTAATCTGACTAATTTAAGTTTGTTGCGGAATTTATTAATTTTATCTTTCTTTCTCTGCACAGTAACAGGCGTAAGCCAAGTGATGGTTATACCCTGAAACAGAGAGATATCATACACTATAAACAGAGGGATACACTATAAACATAGGATCCACATTAGCATAACTTGAATGAAATGACTTGACTAGTTCATGGTTGCTTACTCCAAAGGTCCCAAGTTTGAATCGGGGGGGGGGGGGGGGGGCAGATGAAGCTTACAGGCAGCATAGCAGATTGTTCTTGTGTGGGCAAAACTTATAGAAGTGAATCCAGAAAATAAAGTTGGCTAAGTTGGAGTCAACAAGTGGGCATCACATGCTTACAAGGTACTACTTAACTGTGTATGGCAGTGAATGCTGGGAAGTAACAACCAACAGGTCACTAAATTCTTTCCAAACTAAGTGCCTCCTAAAGATAAAAAGGCCCTACACCACCTATATATATATAATTCTCTTCTTGGAGACCATAGAAAACACCAAGCTGTAAGCGCGCCTAGCAGCCCCCTCTCTTCCTCTCTAAGCATATTGCTACAACCCCCACCCTTACATGGTCTGGTGAGCTGTGGTTCACGCTAAATGTTTACAATGGTAGAGCCGGGTTTAGTGACGCTATTAGGGGCAGATAATTTAGTTTAAAACGATTTCAAACTTAGGGGAGGTAACTAAGAGGAGGCTGCTTTCATGGGGAGGGGGGGGGTAGTGGTTCGGGGAAAGGAGGGTTTTAGTGTTTTAAAGCAAATATTTTCAGTGGCAGCATTGGTACTGTCAAATCCACAAATTATGAATTACTGAAAAGTAGAAAATAAAACAACTAAATAGCGGCGTATGATATGCCGCGGGTCGGCTCGTCTCTAATAATAGAATACTTGGAGAAATGGAAGCAGTTTCTGAAATAATCAAACCAAGATGGCTCTGGAAGGGGCACACTTGAAGAATGAATCCAAATGATATCACGAGAATGGAGCTTAACTGGAAGCTTCAAGGAAAAAGAAAACAGGCAAGGCCAAGGGAAATGTGCAGGTACACAGCAAAAAAACAACTGTCTAAAACAGGACTATCTTGGAAAATTGTTAGACTAAAACAGGACTATCTTGGAAAATTGTTAGACTAAAACAGGACTATCTTGGAAAATTGTTAGACTAAAACAGGACTATCTTGGAAAATTGTTAGACTAAAACAGGACTATCTTGGAAAATTGTTAGACTAAAACAGGACTATCTTGGAAAATTGTTAGACTAAAACAGGACTATTTTGGAAAATTGTTAGACTAAAACAGGACTATCTTGGAAAATTGTTAGACTAAAACAGGACTATCTTGGAAAATTGTTAGGCGCCAGAGTTAAGAAAACAAGGCGCAGATGGATGGGACAAGGCATATCATAGAGTACACAAGCATCAAGAAACAGGGAAATCCAAAAACCATAGGAGAAAACAATTGGAAAAGACATGTAAATTATGGGAAATAGTTGGAAAGAAATTATGGAAGAAAAAGAACAGGAAGGATGGAAGGGCATTGCGTATTTCCTATAAGCTCTGCAAAGAAGAAGTTGTAGACCTAGATAATATGCTTTTGGTTGCTAGGGGTCTGACTACAGCTAAACTATTGATTTTTGTGAATATTCTCTTCAGCTATATTGTGAATAGTTTTAGAAGTAGACATTCATGACAAAAAAAAGTGAACTTTCCTTGAATTATTGCCGCAACAATATTACAATTTTATTATTTGCAGAAGTGTGCAAGAAATTCAAAGCATTTGTGTACATATTCTCTTCTCTATTTTGTTAATACTTTAAGCTGTCTTGGCTAAAAGCCAAAACTATTTGATAAACTAAACAGGCTAATAGGGATAATAGTTATTTTTCTGTTTTTCCAAAACATACTGCTTAATGGTTTAGAAATTCCCGATCTAGGGCGACCGCCGGTTCTTAAATCATGAGCTGACAATCTCTTTCTCACAGGGAAAGGTGTTAGCCAAGTGATGGCTAAATCCTGAAACAAAGAGATACATGGCCAAGATAATAATTTCTCTCCACAGTGACAGGTATACCAGTGATGGCTAAATCCTGAAACAAAGAGATACATGGCCCAGATAATAATTTCTCTCCACAGTGACAGGTATACCAGTGATGGCTAAACCCTGAAACAAAGAGAAACATGGCCAAGATAATAATTTCTCTCCACAGTGACAGGTATACCAGTGATGGCTAAATCCTGAAACAAAGAGATACATGGCCAAGATAATAATTTCTCTCCACAGTGACAGGTATACCAGTGATGGCTAAATCCTGAAACAAAGAGATACATGGCCAAGATAATAATTTCTCTCCACAGTGACAGGTATACCAGTGATGGCTAAATCCTGAAACAAAGAGATACATGGCCAAGATAATAATTTCTCTCCACAGTGACAGGTATACCAGTGATGGCTAAATCCTGAAACAAAGAGATACATGGCCAAGATAATAATTTCTCTCCACAGTGACAGGTATACCAGTGATGGCTAAATCCTGAAACAAAGAGATACATGGCCAAGATAATAATTTCTCTCCACAGTGACAGGTATACCAGTGATGGCTAAATCCTGAAACAAAGAGATACATCGCCAAGATAATAATTTCTCTCCACAGTGACAGGTATACCAGTGATGGCTAAACCCTGAAACAGAGGCATAGAGTAAAAATCAGATCTAAATTAGCATAATGACTAGCTTGTGGTTGCTAGTCCCAAGTTTGATGCAAGGGCAGATGAGACTTGTAAGAGGAGACAGCAAAGCATGTCAGAATCATCAAAGTCAAACAGCTGCTGCCTTGCTCGGCATTGCAGATTGTTCTGAGGTTGACTATGGAAGTGAATTCTGAAAAGAACAGGCCATATGGTGTATACCATGTTGACATGTAAGATTACATTGCAATTAAAAGCACAGAATGGACATGGTTATAGATATCTCATGTTCTTGTCAGACATGGTTATAGTTATCTCAAAAGTCTTGTCAGACATGGTTAGATTAATGATATCTCAAAAGTCTTGTCAGACATGGTTAGATTAATGATATCTCAAAAGTCTTGTCAGACATGGTTAGATTAATGATATCTCAAAAGTCTTGTCAGACATGGTTAGATTAATGATATCTCAAAAGTCTTGTCAGACATAGTTTTATTGGTGATATCTCAAAAGTCTTGTTAAACGTGGTTATAGATAATCTCAAAAATATGCTTTAAGAGATTATGATGTAAAATTATCAAATTCTGAAGTTTTTTGAGAAATTGGAAATAAAGTACCCCTTTTTGTTTTGGAAAATTGCTCAAAAGTTGTTAGAAATATATGTACATGTATACATATTTAGGAGATAAATTATTAATATTATGGATACAAATTGTATGTCCGTTTACGTAGTAAAATACAGGGTATGAAAGAAACAAAATAATTAATATGTGAAAGAAAACCTTTAAAGCAGGAAGAAAAAATAAGGCTGTCTTTAAATATTTGTTTAAGAACAGTTGCATTATGATCACAGGTGTAAAAAAAGCCAAAAGTTCTAAAAGCCTAGATTTAAAAAAAAAGCATTTTAAAGCATAAAACTAGCTGTCAAAGCATTCCAAATTTGTAACAGTAGCACAGTGCGGAATGAATGCAAAAGGTAAGCAAAGCTGAAGCAAATAGATTAGATAGCAATAAAAAAGCTTTTATATTTATACATGTACATCTATAAATACATTGTATCTCTAGATATAAAACAATCACAAAGGGCTATAGGCAATCACACACAGGCAGCACAGAAAACCTCCAAAGCTAAACTTTACAAGTTCATTTTTCTTGTTTTTTTTTTTTAATTTGTTAAACAATTATACTTTATTCAACAATTAATATTAAGCTTTAACATTTTCAAAGCTTATAATGGAGGTTTAGAAATATTACATTCTACAGTTTAGTTCCTAAAAACTAAAACAATATTAAGCATGTGATATTAGATAAAGAAAATTTTTAAAATTTACTATTGAAAACCACACCACGCATGGGTTCCACGGCACCATCGAATAGCATTAAAAAATCTCTTCTTTGGGCAACATAAGCTGTTGTCAATTCACTGATGGCTATACTCTAGAAGAGAAAGACACAAAGAAGGCTACTAGAATCTACATGGACCCTATATTTTTATTGTCATTTTTATGGTTTACATAAAAGGTTAAAATAAAATAAATTTATTCTATTTGATTTAATAAAACAAGTACAAAAATCTTTACGATAATAAGCTTTGGAATGCACTGAAAACAAGAAATTGAAACAAACTGGTTTCTTCGGTAAAATCATGTAGCTAAATTTTTAATTTTCTTTGAGCGCCCTAAAGTTAGACTAAAGAAAACAAGTTTATTCTCTTATTTTCAGTGTTTTTAAAAGTTTAAAGCTTCTAATAGTTATGACTTGCTAACTTATCATATGGTCCGTGTACCATTTTTTAAATATATTGATATGAAGTTTTTTTCCTTTTTTTAAAAGTTATTTAAAGATTATTTTTAATACTAGCCATCGGTTCCCGTTTCACATGAATTATAGGCCTATATATTTTAATTTTAAAATGTTGTACTTGTTTGAGAAAAATAATTTATGAAATAGTTTTTGGTCAAAACGCAATGTGCTTTACTACACGCTGGACGATATTAGTGACAAAGCAAAGAAATAGCTAATTAGCTAAAAATCTGACACATTTAACATAACACAGGCACACACTGATTAAGTGACTTAAATGATTCCGTTAAAAATCTGGTTATTCAATGGTCATTATGTTGTTTTTAAGTAATTTGTATTAGTTTGACCGATAAAATTGTATATATTTCATAGCGTACGTCTTGATGAGTAGATCTATAGATCTAGATCAAATTTGAATGAAGTAGATCCTTTCTTTATAGTCTAAAATTGGAAGATTCACATATAAAAAAAATATAAAAATAAGATGGACTTGGTGTGTCTCTATCCCGCACCACCTGCGTGGTGTAAAGTACACTATCATCTCTGCTATTTAGGCACCTTATAAATTATGGAGAATGAAAGACATATTTTTAAGTTAAACTTACGCAAACATGCCTATTCTTTCAAATTAATTTTTTTAATCCCAAATTAACAAGTTCCATAGTTAAACAAAGATTTCTATAAAATATGTTTATACCGGTGTACAATAATGGAATCTTCTTTAAAAAAAGGGGTGTCAGGTTACTGGTAGTTAACTAAATACACACATGGCTGGCTAATATCAATGCTAACCCTGTCCCTAACCCCAACTCTGGTCCTACCATACACCTAACCCTAATTTCTAACCATAAAATTAGTCGAGATTACAACACTACTAACAACCCAACACCCCTTTTTTAAAGAAGATTCCATTATGATTATCGGACACCGGTATCTATAATCATCCGAGTCTGAATATAGATCTTAGTGACTTAGCTTCTACGTCTAGTTTTTGCGTAGATTTAGATCTAGTCTAGATCTAGAATCTCTAGATCTAGAATCCAAATAGATAAAATAAATTTTATGTTTAGGCCGGAAAAATTGTATTGTATACATTTCATAGCTTACGTAGATCTAGATCTAAATCAAATTTGAATGAAATAGTTCATTTCTTTTTATTCTAAACTCAGCAGATGACGTCATTAGTTAATGTATAAACATTAGTGACATCATTGTTTCATGGGTTCTTTTTCACAACTATGAATGCTTTTCCTGTTGCATAATTAAAACTGTTTTTCTACATTTAAATATGCCTTTATTTTTTATTTTTCTTCTTTAAATAAAATGTTGGTTATACATTTAAAACATCTACCATATTATTTTCAACAAAAGTCCGTATCAAGTTCTCCATATATCGTTGCACATTCTGATGTGATATCCGGCAAAAATATTTTGCGGACAGAGAGAGAGAGAGAGAGAGAGAGAGAGAGAGAGAAGTGCGCACATGGGCTTTTATATATTAGGATGATCATTTTTTGTACATTATGTAATTAGGTTTAGATCTATGTAGAAAATGCAATGAAAACAAGAGACTTAGAGAGTTGCTGAAAACCATTTGATTCAGAAATATAAGCAAAACATGCATTAAGGGCCAGGCAGGCAACCGCTAGATTTTGTTTTCTCCAACACTTTAAACATCCAATAATAAGATTAAATTATTGCAGACAAATTATTTTTGGACATGTAATAATGATTCTCTATCTGACCAGGTATAATTGTCTCCACCTGACCAGGTAAAATGTTAATTGTCTCCACCTGGCCAGGTAAAATGTTGATTGTCTTCACCTGGCCAGGTAAAATGATGATAGTCTCCACCTGGCCAGGTAAAATTGTCCATCCACCCTTTGCCCAGCTAAATAGTTGAGTTGTCAACCATGATTGAAACAGACAGAAAGCTTTAAAAAATGCTTAAAACACCAGAAGTCAGAAAAAAAACAACTTACTTTGAGGATTGTATAAGCTGAATAAGGCACACTTCTCTCAGAGTTTTCTTTGATGTCAAAACTGGACAGACCATCAAGTATCTGTGGGAAGAATAAAAATAGTTATTTCTTCTACACTGCCAAGTTTGTCTGTACTGTCTTCTCCACTGACACTTAGGGCCTGCGTCAGGTACCAGTGGTTTAGAAAAACTCTCACCTTGGCCTTATTAAGGTCGGTGCCCCCCTGGAGTAAAATGATGCTCTTGTCTACTGCCAGGTAGTAGACGTCATGCACACCTGGCAGATCATTAGATCCGTCAGTCCGTGACACATCCACGTTCATGTCCACGTCTGTCCCTGTTCTGGTTTCACGCGAGTCAAACAGGACACTAACCTACAATGGAGATAAACAGGACACTGACCTAGATGGGAGACAAACAGGACACTGACCTACATGGGACACAAACAGGACACTGACCTACATGGGAGACAAACAGGACACTGACCTACATGGGAGACAAACAGGACACTAACCTACATGGGAGACAAACAGGACACTAACCTACATGGGAGACAAACAGGACACTGACCTACATGGGACACAAACAGGACACTGACCTACATGGGAGACAAACAGGACACTGACCTACATGGGAGACAAACAGGACACTGACCTACATGGGAGACAAACAGGACACTGACCTACATGGGACACAAACAGGACACTGACATATATAACGCTGACTTGCATAAGTGTCTGATGGGACACTGACCTAATAATGACACTGACCCACATGTAAGTCCACCAGGACACTGACCTATATATGACACTGTCCTTCAAGAAATCAGACACACACATCATCAGAATTATCCAAACAGCTGACTACTCTTTTACTCTCCCCATATAGGAAAAGACAACTTTTTAAAAATTGTGTACCTCTTTCTTGTATTTCCGAGCCACAGACAACTGAATGGTGTCAACGACCAGTTCAGATTCTTGCCTGCTGCCAACAATCATGTAGACCAGTAGCTTGGCAGTGGGTGAGTACCCCAGGGTTGGTGACAGGTGAAGTTTATCACCTGCAATTGGTCCTGCATCTATGATGTTTCCTTGGCTAACAACCTGGGGAGGGGGGGAGGGGTAGAAAATTAGCAAACATTCAAACTAGTAGATACATTTTGGAAAATCTAAATTGTGTAACAATGACTAAATTTGAAGTAAAAGCTTAATCATTCATTATTTAAACAGAAAATGTAATATAGTAATTCTTTAAAACTGTAAACAGAGAATGCAGTATATAAACTCTTTGAGACTGTAAACAGAAAATTTATTAATATATTAACTCTTTAAGACCATAAACAGAAATTGTAATGTATTAAATCTTTAAGATCGTAATCAGAAAACATAATATATTAACTCTTTAAGAGTGAAATGCTTCCAGTGTCCAGTATTTTCTCTATTTACTCCACTGTTTTGCAGATAATTGTATATTTTTATCAAAATATCACTAGAGCGGCCATTTTCTGTTGTGTTTACATCCTGTAGTTTTCCTGTATGGTTGATTTTGTATTTTATAGAATTTTTTTTTGTACAACCACAAACTAAACAGCATTTTTTTACACTGCAAAATCCCATTTAGAGCGTCTGAACAGTTATATTTACCAAAACTAAGGTATTTATTCAAAGACTAATTCAATTTATGATTATGGAGAAAAATTAACTACTTTTTGTATGAATAAGATATTATAAAAAATAGTTTTTACTGCTAATTTTCCCAATCTAAGTGTATTTTTTCTTGTGAAAAGCTGATCTTTACTTTTCTTTGTTTAGATCTAAGTAATTTTCTTTCTTCACTAATTATATTGTTACTAAAAATTAATAATGATGTAAACGGCATTAAATTTCAATTAATTTTTATCAATTATGTGTAGGTTTTGAATAAGCATCATTTTGCGGTGTAGATACTGAAAATAAATTGAGGTAAAAAAATTAATTCTGGTGGCGTGAATATTAAGAGTGAAAGATTTTAACTCTCATTGATATTGATGATGTAAGATAAGACTTGGGACTTACAATATAACCAGCACTTTGATTGTTGTTTTGTTTGACCTTTCTAATTAGGACAAATTCTGCTTCCTGTCCCAAAACAAGATTCTGCTCGTATGTAAAAAAAAATGCAAAACAAAATAAAAACAGCAAACAAAAAAAAGTTGTTTTTCAGTTGTTACAAACTCTACATATTCTATAATATTAATGTACCAGTAATTTTACTTTCTTGCTGTACCAGTTATACTACATATTCTATGACTTTATTGTACAAGGAACTCTACACATTCTATGACTTAAAGTAATTCTACACATTCTATGACTTAAAGTAATTCTACACATTCTATGACTTAAAGTAATTCTACACATTCTATGACTTAAAGTAATTCTACACATTCTATGACTTAAAGTAATTTTACACATTCTATGACTTAAAGTAATTCTACACATTCTATGACTTAAAGTAATTTTACACATTCTATGACTTAAAGTGATTCTACACATTCTATGACTTAAAGTAATTCTACACATTCTATGACTTAAAGTAATTCTACACATTCTATGACTTAAAGTGATTCTACACATTCTATGACTTAAAGTAATTCTACACATTCTATGACTTAAAGTGATTCTACACATTCTATGACTTAAAGTAATTCTACACATTCTATGACTTAAAGTAATTCTACACATTCTATGACTTAAAGTAATTCTACACATTCTATGACTTAAAGTAATTCTACACATTCTATGACTTAAAGTAATTCTACACATTCTATGACTTAAAGTAATTCTACACATTCTATGACTTAAAGTAATTCTACACATTCTATGACTTAAAGTAATTCTACACATTCTATGACTTAAAGTAATTCTACACATTCTATGACTTAAAGTAATTCTACACATTCTATGACTTAAAGTAATTCTACACATTCTATGACTTAAAGTAATTCTACACATTCTATGACTTAAAGTAATTCTACACATTCTATGACTTAAAGTAATTCTACACATTCTATGACTTAAAGTAATTCTACACATTCTATGACTTAAAGTAATTCTACACATTCTATGACTTAAAGTAATTCTACACATTCTATGACTTAAAGTAATTCTACACATCCTATGACTTAAAGTAATTCTACACATTCTATGACTTAAAGTAATTCTACACATTCTATGACTTAAAGTAATTCTACACATTCTATTATCTCACCGTGCCGTGGACTGGATGTATAGCAATAGATTGTCCCTGTTTAGACTGGTATTTATAAACTGTCATCTGGCTTGAGATATCACTGTTTGAGACAAGATAAGCCTACAATATAAGAGAAAAAAAACAAGATAAGCCTACAATGTAAGGAGAAAACAAGATAAGCCTACAATGTAAGGAAAAAAAACAAGATAAGCCTACAATGTAAGAAAAAAAACAAGATAAGCCTACAATGTAAGAAAAAAAACAAGATAAGCCTACAATGTAAGAAAAAAAACAAGATAAGCCTACAATGTAAGAAAAAAAACAAGTTAAGCCTACAATCTAAGAAATAACAAGATAAGCCTAAACGTAAGAAATAAAAAGCAATATAAAGCAAAAAAAGGTTTGCTTATAATAATAATAATAAAAAGCAAGATAATCCTACAATTAAAGAAAAAAAAGCCAGAATAAACCTTATTGATGTGTAATATTTTTACATTGTAAAGAAAAATATTTGAAAGTTCTAGACGTTGCCTTTAAAAATGCTTTGATTTGAGAGGATGTTCAGCTTTAAATTACACACCGAAACTTAGAGTAATATCCATTTACAAGATTAAATTATCCTAAATCTAATATTTACAAATAACAAAAAGCTGCAAAAAACACGTACCGTTATTGAACCAGAAGGATCGGAATACCAATAGTTACTTATTGAGGAGCCGTCTTTAAGGGTGGGAGTATAAGTGGTGCTGACAGTGGTCTCCCCTGCTGGGACTTGCAATGTGGTCTGGTAGTTTGTAAAACCAGTGCCAGAATGATCTACGCTCACAACCACTTCAACAGGTGATACAGCATTACCGTCATGATCTGACACTTTGACCTGAAACAAATTGGTACAGGGTTTTTCAAGGGTAAGTACAGAGTATGTCACACAAACCAAAAGCCTGGCGAGAACGGTAATCTAGGGCATGGTGCCAAGAGGGAGAAGATGAGGACAGCAAAGATGACTGAGGATAAAGGGCATCAAGTGGTGCCATAACAAGCAGAGGGGTTAAGGAATGATTGATGGATTGATTGACAGGATTCACTGTGCTATTTCAAAGTTAGTTTCTAAATAGTTTCTAGACTTTCTATACTTAAATTAAAACCTGATAAACTATTTTTAATTATTTTTACTTTCTTGTATATACGAAGTATAGAGAAAGTCTTGTAATCGTGCACAAAAAATATAGATTTATGCAGCTTTTTTTGGAATAAAAATGTTCTAACAATGTTCGATGTTTTACAGCTCCCTGAGTAGGAAAAAAAAAGTTTTGCAATCTTGTCCATATGTCTGTCTGTGTGTGTGTATGTGTGTGTGTGTGTCTGTAAACACCACAACTTGAGTACCGTTACAGCTAGGTTGATGAAATTTAATATATAAGTATTATATCAAAATCGTAGATCTGTATTAACTTTTGAGCGATTTCCGATAACCGGAAGTGGAACTTTTTCTACTTTCAATTTTTCAAAAGCCTATAACCTGAGTATTATTTCAGATAGATACATGAAATTTCAATGTGAGTAAAAGATCTAATTCTCTGCCTTATATCAAATTTTGAGTAATTTCCGTTGATCAGAAGTAATAATTTTCGCTATTTCCGATTTCTCAAAAAACGCATGTGAATTTATAAAGTACTAATAATATTTTGTGTTCACTTGGTGTGCAATTCTTTTTTCTAAGAGATTTTATTCTATTTTAAAAAGTTTAAGTATTTAAAATGGATTAAAAATCATGCCATCCCCTGTTGTTTCATATGAGAATATTCGAGAAAGTTTAGGGGAGATCACTCCCGGTTTTTTTTTAACACCCATAGATTTTCAGGACATTACCCATAAGCTTTCAGGGCACCAACATTTTTTTATTGTCTAGTATCTTTCAGTACTACACCAGTGTACACCATTTCTCACTTTCAAAATTACAGTGTGAACTTTCAAAAGACAACAATGACATTTCAAACACCATTTTTTTAAACATTGAAACCACTAACATTCCAACACCATCATCAACTTTCAGAATATAACTTCAGGATACATGGAAATTCAGGCATATTTTTTCTCACATTTATTTTGGTAAGGAAACCAGTCTCCACGGTTACCAAGAATTGACACAGACTAAAGTATGATAGGTTCCATAAGTTCCCAAATATCTTTTACAGATGTGTTCCATAAGTTCCCAAATATCTTTTACAGATGGGTTTCATAACTTCCCAAATATCTTTTACAGATAGGTTCCATAAGTTCCCAAATATCTTTTACAGATGGGTTCCATAACTTCCCAAATATCTTTCACAGATGTGTTTTATGATAACAAGTTAGTTAAAAATAAAAAACCTACATTAATATGTGCTGGTATCCCTTCCCTCAGCACTACAGTGGAAGTGTCCAAAATCTGAAGGGCAACCTTGTGTTTGTACAGGTTTATGGTGGTCACCCCTGTTTCTGTACGGCCTGTTTCATCAAGTACCTCGGCCTTGACGGAGATACTGCCCACATCACCAATCGCCATCAGACTTGACCAGCTGATGTCATTAAACTCTGCCTGGCCAGCAGATGACAGCTGAAGTGTGGGGAAAATAAACTGGTCAGTGTGACAGATTAGAGGATTGGCTGGCAGGTGGGATATTTTTTTAAAACATAACTGTCAGGTCAGACTTATTGGATAATGACAGGAATTTTGAATAACATAAGTAAAAATAATATTTTAACAAACACATAGTTAACTTAAATTGATCCTACAATTGACAGAAATAACTCGTTTAACAAGGTTAACAAGGTTACAAGAATCTTCATCTGAATTACATAACCAAATGTATGTAGAGTGACACTAATGTATATAACCAAATGTAAGCAGAGTGATACTAATGTATATAACCAAACGTATGTAGAGTGATACTAATGTATATAACTAAATGTATGTAGAGTGATACTAATGTATATAACTAAATGTAAGCAGAGTGATATTAATGTACATAACTAAATGTAAGCAGAGTGATACTAATGTATATAACTAAATGTAAGCAGAGTGATATTAATGTACATAACTAAATGTAAGCAGAGTGATATTAATGTACATAACTAAATGTAAGCAGTGATACTAATGTGCATAACCAAATGTAAGCAGAGTGATACTAATGTATATAACTAAATGTAAGCAGAGTGATACTAATGTACATAACTAAATGTAAGCAGAGTGATATGTAAGAAGGAACATACTAATGACAAGTTTAGTGTTACTACCATAAGACAATACTCACTTCCTTATGTAGAGTTATTGCTTTGCTGGCAAAACTCAGTGTAACTTTACAGGAGCCTTGTACACCTTTACCATATGTGTATCTGGATAGAAAAACATGCTATGTGTAAAGTGACTAACTGAACCATATGTCTATACATCTGAGTAGAAATACACCTGTTTAAATAAGTGAACCATATGTCTATACATCTGAGTAGAAATACACCTGTTTAAAGTGACTAAATGAACCATATGTCTATACATCTGAGTAGAAATACACCTGTTTAAAATGTTTTTTTATATGTATGGAACTAGTACAACCCACACCATGTAAAAAATTAACACAAAAATGTGTAGACAATCAATGAAAGGGTTTTGAAACAGATTATAGCAATAATAGACATACAGAGTTATTTTAGCACTGTTCTGTTTTTACAGTTGGTCTGTAACATTGTAACCCCCCCCCCCCCACACACACACACAAACATTCCATCAAACTTTAATATCAAAAACGTATATTAGTTCAAGTATATGTTGTTTAAAACATCCAACTTAAAATTATGTAATTTTATCTTAAAATGAGTCTATTTTAATGGATTACAAAAGAATTACTTCTTTGAGGAGTGTGTTCGGGCTATAACAATGGTGAGCTCCAACAATAACAATGTTCTAACATCTTTGTGTGGTGAGTTCAGGCTATAACAATGGTGTGTTCAGACTATAACAATGTTCTACCATCTTTGTGTGGTCTGTTCAGACTATAACAATGTTCTACCATCTTTGTGTGGTGAGTTCAGGCTATAACAATGTTCTAACATCTTTGTGTGGTGAGTTCAGACTATAACAATGTTCTAACATCTTTGTGTGGTGAGTTCAGACTATAACAATGTTCTACCATCTTTGTGTGGTGAGTTCAGACTATAACAATGTTCTAACATCTTTGTGTGGTGAGTTCAGACTATAACAATGTTCTACCATCTTTGTGTGGTGAGTTCAGACTATAACAATGTTCTACCATCTTTGTGTGGTGAGTTCAGACTATAACAATGTTCTACCATCTTTGTGTGGTGAGTTCAGACTATAACAATGTTCTAACATCTTTGTGTGGTGAGTTCAGACTATAACAATGTTCTACCATCTTTGTGTGGTGAGTTCAGACTATAACAATGGTGAGTTCAGACTATAACAATGGTGTGTTCAGACTATAACAATGTTCTAACATCTTTGTGTGGTCTGTTCAGACTATAACAATGTTCTACCATCTTTGTGTGGTGAGTTCAGGCTATAACAATGTTCTAACATCTTTGTGTGGTGAGTTCAGACTATAACAATGTTCTAACATCTTTGTGTGGTGAGTTCAGACTATAACAATGTTCTAACATCTTTGTGTGGTGAGTTCAGACTATAACAATGTTCTAACATCTTTGTGTGGTGAGTTCAGACTATAACAATGTTCTAACATCTTTGTGTGGTGAGTTCAGACTATAACAATGTTCTAACATCTTTGTGTGGTGAGTTCAGGCTATAACAATGTTCTAACATCTTTGTGTGGTGAGTTCAGACTATAACAATGGTGTGTTCAGACTATAACAATGTTCTAACTTCTTACTTTGACTCAACTACAAGAGTTGATCTACTGTTTGGGTCCGTGGACACTAAAAAACTCTGACTGGCCTTGACCTCAACAGAAAATTTAGGCAGTACTGAAAAAAAAAAGTTACAATCATAAAAAATATCAAGCTAATGAAAATTATCAATTAGAACCATTTTTTATAGGTAGTTATTTGACAGTTTTAAAAACTGGTAAAAGTCCTCACGTTAAAAAAAAATCTATTTTTAAGAATAGTAATTTTATTTAGAGTAAAACAAAATGCCAAACAAGAGAAAAACAAAACCTACTTTTGCTTATAAATCTACCTACTCTACACGTCAAGTGAACTCAAAGACAACAGCACTCACCAAACTCTTCAACAGTGAAATAGTAGGATTGAATCCTTTTACTGCCTGACATGACTTGGATCTGCCACTGGCCCAGTGATGGGAAATCAGAAAGTTGAAATATTTCTTCTATCACACCTAAAAAATTTAAAGTGATATTTTACATCAAACTATGTCTAAGAAAGGTATATATTAATTTGAAGATGTTAAGTATTTATATAAACACAGATATGTGTTAAAAATCTGAGAAATTTAAAAATAAAAGTAAATTTTTAAACAAACATTATATAGGCTTCATAATAATTATTTTTTTTACCATTGGCGGTTTTCACATCTTTATACTCCTCTAACTTGTTGTTTTTGGCATTCTAAATACAATACAGAAATCGTGTGAAAGTTTTAAAATAGGTTACAGATGATTAGCTGTATAATCTGATAGTTATGAATTTCAGGGAATTAAAAAATGGCAAGTTTATGTACATGGTCTATGTAAAACATTTTCTGTACTGATTACATTTGATTTTTTTTTTACATTTTCTAATTTATATATTGCATGAGTTATGTAGTATTGTTTCCTAGCCATTTTGTATGCCAATCATACATGATATCCTGGAAACATATTGGACCCCAGTTAAGTATTGTGTCCCAGTTATATACAGAGTGGTGTCCTTTACATCAATTTTGTTGTAGTTATGACTTATATCATATATCGAGGCCTGTACATCTGTGTATCTTATTATGCATGGTATTCTGAATACACAATGTATCCAATTTTAATCTTATGTCCCATTAATGCATTGTGCCTCAAATACATAATGTATTTTGATGACATAGCTTGTAGTGCTAAATCTAAACCCTAACCAACATAACACTTTTAACACCAGTGATGTTGCTACAAACATTCTCAACAAATGTGTTTAACTCACCACAACTGTCACAGTCAGCGGTTCATACAGTGGCTGTAAGTCTTTATTCACATTTACCACACGGATACGCACTGTTACATGGGAGATAAAAAAAAGTGTTATACTGACACAAACTTTCCCATGAAAAACAAATATAGTGTTACATTTCATAGATACAAACTTTTTTCATGAGAAAACAAAAATAGGGTTATTATACGGATATTAACTTTTTCATGAGAAAACAAAAATAGGGTTATTTCACAGATATTAACTTTTTCATGAGTAAACAAAAATAGGTTTATTTCACAGAAATAAACTTTTTCATAAGAAAACAAAAATAGGGTTATTTCACGGATATTAACTTTTTCACGAGAAAACAATAATAGGGTTATTTCACTGATATAAACTTTTTCACGAGAAAACAAAAATAGGGTTATTTCACTGATATAAACTTTTTCAAGAGAAAACAAAAATAGTGTTATTTACGCACAGATTAGTCAGGCTAGCTGCTGAGAAATGTGTGTGTTATTAGGTTTTACAAAGACAGGACAGCACTTGAGACTTTAGGTAAACCACAGCTGCTCTAACAATTGCCCACACCACCCCACAAAGATCCTCCCCATACAATACAAGAGGTCTATGATGTTGGTACCTTGTTGTCCAGGCTTATATATGGCTTTATCTGTCTGTACCAGGACTATGGATGAGTTGTGGTTGTAGTTGATGGGCTTGGTGGCATTGTAGACTACACCACCAGTGGTAGAGACTGAGATGGTGCAGCCGCCCCCACAAGTCACAATCTCTGGGATCTAGAGGAGGGACAAAGGTAAACTTCAAAGAAGCAGTTAAAAAAGCATTAGTATATAGAGCTTTTAATTACATTTGTCAGCACAGAAATAATTTAACAGAGTAGTGTCTATCACACCTCATTACATTTCAGCTTAGATTAAGTAAGTTCACGCCTATCACACTTCTGATTATGACATTACATTAATAAAAAGTTTATGTTGTTGAAGCTATTTTAAAAATAAATTCTTGCTTTTGGGATAAAATAAAACACAGCATTTACCAAAACCCATTGGCCCTTTTTGATAGGTTTATGTTGGTTTTTCAAAACTAACATGTAAACTTGTAAAGTTGCAAATTGTTTACCTGAATAGTCAACTTTTTTGTTTGACCTGGAACAAACAAACAAATGTATCAACATATCTTTTTAACATATACTGAAACCTTCACAACTAAATTACAATAGAAGCTATCAGTGGCAACCACCTTTGATAGAAGCTATCAATGGCAACCACCTTTTATAGAAACTATCAGTGGCAACCACCTTTGATAGAAGTTATCAGTGGCAACCACCTTTGATAGAAACTATCAGTGGCAACCACCTTTTAAAGAAACTATAGGTGGCAACCACCTTTGATAGAAACTATCAGTGGCAACCACCTTTGATAGAAGCTATCAGTGGCAACCACCTTTGATAGAAGCTATCAGTGGCAACCACCTTTGATAGAAGCTATCAGTGGCAACCACCTTTGATAGAAGCTATCAGTGGCAACCACCTTTGATAGAAGCTATCAGTAGCAACCACCTTTGATAGAAGCTATCAGTGGCAACCACCTTTGATAGAAGCTATCAGTGGCAACCACCTTTGATTTCCAACTAAATACTTTCAACATGCAAGACAACCACAATTAAACAAGCTGATCTACATAATGACAACCACCCACACATTAACCAACCAAATGAAAACCACTCTGATAGCAACCCACTAAAAGACAACCACCCTGACACCAACCCACCCACCAAAAGACAACCACCCTGACACCAACCAACCCACCAAAAGACAACCACCCTGACACCAACCAACCCACCAAAAGACAACCACCCTGACACCAACCAACCCACTAAAAGACAACCACCCTGACACCAACCAACCCACTAAAAGACAACCACCCTGACACCAACCAACCCACCAAGAGACAATAACCCTGACACCAACCAACCCACTAAAAGACAACCACCCTGACACCAACCAACCCACCAAAAGACAATAACCCTGACACCAACCAACCCACCAAAAGACAACCACCCTGACACCAACCAACCCACCAAAAGACAACCACCCTGACACCAACCAACCCACCAAAAGACAATAACCCTGACACCAACCAACCCACCAAGACAACCACCCTGACACCAACCAACCCACTAAAAGACAACCACCCTGTCACCAACCAACCCACCAAAAGACAACCACCCTGACACCAACCAACCCACCAAAAGACAACCACCCTGACACCCACCTGCCAGAAGCTGATCCTGAACTGTCCCCACCACTTTACTGACATCCTGTGAGTCATACAAGACAACGCTGACATCAACAGGAGCTGTCACACTACTGAGTACTGTCACAGCTATGTTCAGCGGCCAGCCTGGATGGAAATCTTCAGGGAACAAAGCCAGAAAAGACCTGCACAATGAAAACAAAACTTATAAATTGTGACACTATCCAATACAAAAACATGTAACACAACTGGGACTATTCATACAAAACTTATAAATTGTGATAATATACAATACAAAAACATGTAACACAACTGGGACTATTCATACAAAACTTATAAATTGTGACAATATCCAATACAAAAACGTGTAATACAACTGGGACTATTCATACAAAAATTATAAATTGTGACAATATCCAATACAAAAACATGTAACACAACTGGGACTATTCGTAAAATTGTATTTTTTCATTGACTTTACACATTATGTTTAAGTAGGCCCTCTCAAATTTCCCAAAACCCCAAAAGAAAACTCAAGCCTTTCCTTATAAGATGGACCCCCCTACCACCCAACTCAACACTACAGCAGATTATTAAAGACACTAAACTCCAGCTATAAAAAAATTACCCACACTGCACCACAAGATTAGTCATATAGACAAACATTAGTATTTTTTGTTGGAAAAATTAATCAATCTGAAACTTAAATCTTGTTAAGCCCAGAATCAAATTTAGTTCTACTCCAATACTAATTATTTACCATACACTACAGTACAAACATACACAAACACTCAGACTTAGACACCAAAGTGGAATAACAAAGTAATCAATCTGAACTCTAAATTTAGACTCTACTTGGTGAAAAATAGCTTGTCAAGTCATTGTAATGATATCGGATTTCATTTTTGTTTAGTCGTGACATTACATTCTAGATGTTTCGCAAGGTTGTTGGGATTTAATACTAAATCCTTGTTTAATCATTGATCCTTATATTTACAAAAACCTAGAATAAATTGTCTGCAAGTGATTTTAAATGTTCATGAGTACACACGTTCGTGAGTACACATTATGTGGTAGTCGGGAGGTGGAGTAGTGTGATCCTGCTTATCTGCGCATGCTGGAAAAATCTGTTTCCTAAAAATATCACCATGGCAATGGCATGAAACTTTTTAAGCAGAGCCAATAAAATTAAACCTCTTTTAATATAACGAAACTTACAAAGCAAGCCTACTTTAAGCAAACTGAACACACTACCTACAAACCAAACCCACTGCATTCAAACTTCACAAAAGCCCCTAAACCAAATCCACAAACTTAACCAATGCCCAAAGATTAAACCCCTGCCCACAATCTAAACACACTGCCCACAACCTAAACCCAATGCCCACAACCCAAACCACTGCCAACAACCTAAACCCACTTCCCACAACCTAAACCCCTGCCCACAATCTAAACCACTGCCCACAACCTAAACTTAATGCCCACAACCTAAACTTAATGCCCACAACCTCACTGCCCACAACCCAAACCCACTGCCCACAACCCAAACCCACTTCCCACAACCCAAACCCAATGCCCACAACCCAAACCCCTGCCCACAACCCAAACCCACTTCCCACAACCTAAACCCAATGCCCACAACCCAAACCCCTTCCCACAATCCAAACCCAATGCCCACAACCTAAACCCAATGCCCACAACCCAAATCCACTGCCCACAACCTAAACACAATGCCCACAATCTAAACCCAAAGCCCACAACCTAAACCCAATGCCCACAACCTAAACCCACTGCCCACAACCGAAACGCAATGCCCACAACCCAAACCCCTGCTCACAATCCAAACCCACTGCCCAAAACCCCACTGCCCACAACCTAAAACCAATGCCCACAACGCAACCCCATCACCAACAAACTGGACCTACTCAGAGTTTCTTCCAGGCATCTCTTCAGGGAGGGGGGGGGGGGGGGGGCGAAGAAAGTCTAATCCCCACCCACCCACCCCCCCAGAGAAAAAAAGTCTGGAAGAAGCTCTGGACCTACTGTCAACACTATAAAAAGAAACAAAGTTCAACTTACCCAGACGCGGCACCACAAGCAAACACCAAGAAGACAACCACCCGTATGCTACAGGCTGGATTCATCTTAGAGTCAACCAGCTTTATCCCAACTCCACACTTTGCACGCTAGCACTAACACCTTTAGTTTAATTCACATGACACAGCAACTCCACATCTGATTAAAAAAAAAAAACAACGTGTAAGTTATGGCTTTATTTTTTTTAAATTCAGAAGTTTAAAATTTCTCAAAATAAAAAATATAAATAAATTGAGATATTAGTCAGCTAATACATCCGTGTTTTTAGAATAGCCATCATCATCTTGCTTATTTTTTTTTTTTAGATAAAAGGGTATTAAATTTCACTTAGGCATGAAAAACCACATTGATCAACATTTCAATCGAGAGCTCTCATGGGAGACAATCAAAACATCGTGATAACGGTTTCTCCGGTTTTCTAACAAATAGCCTAATAAGTACATACAAACCGATAAAATGATATGTTTATTTATGAACTGAAAAGATGAAAAATTCTCGATTTTATGTTAGTAATGTTAGTATAAATAAAAACGTGTAGGAATTTTTTTTTTAGATTGCCACATCAGCTCGCCGATCTAGAATGATAGAGGGACACGGCAGTAGAGGAAATAGCGAAAGTATTTTTTTAAAACTTATTTAGAAGGCCGAGTTAAAATATCACATGACTACAATAATATTATGCAGGCCCGAGTTGAACGTACCGAAAGTGTGTGTAAATGCGCGTGTAAGTGTGCGTGCGTGTGCGTGCGTATGCGTGTGTAAAAATATGTAAAACGGTTAATATTGTATCTAGATATCTTGAACTAATTGTATAAAATCAATTTTACAACTAATTGTCAAAGCCTGTGCTACACTGTCGTGGTGTTAGGCCAACGCTTTCTAGTTTGAAACAAAGCGGCTCGGCAGTAGTGTGATCGCTTCCATCCATAACGACAGATACAGAAAAGTTAAGTAAAAACCACGGTACAACCACCTACTCCAACATTACCAATCTTATAATACTGACAACATCGAGCTCAATTTTAACAGCGCACCCGCCTACGTAGATGAAAAGCCCACACATTGGTGATTAAGTTTTCAAATAAAACGAAAGAATCACGAAGTCTAGCGGTCCCCGACTTATATAGTAAGCCCAAGCAATAAAACGAAAGAATCACGAAGTCTAGCGGTCCCCGACTTATATAGTAAGCCCCAGCAATAAAACGGGAGAATCACGAAGTCTAGCGGTCCCCGACTTATATAGTAAGCCCCAGCAATAAAACGGGAGAATCACGAAGTCTAGCGGTCCCCGACTTATATAGTAAGCCCCAGCAATAAAACGGGAGAATCACGAAGTCTAGCGGTCCCCGACTTATATAGTAAGCCCCAGCAATAAAACGGGAGAATCACGAAGTCTAACGGTCCCCGACTTATATAGTAAGCCCCAGCAATAAAAAACGGGAGAATCACGAAGTCTAGCGGTCCCCGACTTATATAGTAAGCCCCAGCAATAAAACGGGAGAATCACGAAGTCTAGCGGTCCCCGACTTATATAGTAAGCCCCAGCAATAAAACGGGAGAATCACGAAGTCTAGCGGTCCCCGACTTATATAGTAAGCCCCAGCAATAAAACGGGAGAATCACGAAGTCCAGCGGTCCCCGACTTATATAGTAAGCCCTAGCAATAAAACGGGAGAATCACGAAGTCTAGCGGTCCCCGACTTATATAGTAAGCCCAAGCAATAAAACGAAAGAATCACGAAGTCTAGCGGTCCCCGACTTATATAGTAAGCCCTAGCAATAAAACGGGAGAATCACGAAGTCTAGCGGTCCCCGACTTATATAGTAAGCCCTAGCAATAAAACGGGAGAATCACGAAGTCTAGCGGTCCCCGACTTATATAGTAAGCCCAAGCAATAAAACGAAAGAATCACGAAGTCTAGCGGTCCCCGACTTATATAGTAAGCCCCAGCAATAAAAAACGGGAGAATCACGAAGTCCAGCGGTCCCCGACTTATATAGTAAGCCCCAGCAATAAAACGAAAGAATCACGAAGTCTAGCGGTCCCCGACTTATATAGTAAGCCCTAGCAATAAAACGAAAGAATCACGAAGTCTAGCGGTCCCCGACTTATATAGTAAGCCCCAGCAATAAAAAACGGGAGAATCACGAAGTCTAGCGGTCCCCGACTTATATAGTAAGCCCTAGCAATAAAACGGGAGAATCACGAAGTCTAGCGGTCCCCGACTTATATAGTAAGCCCAAGCAATAAAACGAAAGAATCACGAAGTCTAGCGGTCCCCGACTTATATAGTAAGCCCCAGCAATAAAACGGGAGAATCACGAAGTCCAGCGGTCCCCGACTTATATAGTAAGCCCCAGACACCGGTCACAAGATTAGATAGGTACCTTTATTGTAGAAGGCTGTTGGGGTACCAGGGAAAAGTATTAATTAGGGTTACCAGAAAAATGCGCAAACGGAAAACTGCGCAAATACAAATTAATTTTATTAGTAATAACCTTTAATTTCGCAATATTTTGTGGGCAAATGTTTTGTAATGCTACAATGTGCAAGTGGTTTATCTCTGTCAGTGTCTAAATGCTCGACTTGAGTAAAAAAAAAAAATGCCCTTGTCATCAGTTAGTAACCCTGGTAAAAAAAAAAATCACGGCATTAAAGTTAGTTGCATTGTTATTACAAAATACACGAATGAAGAGTTGGATTACCGAGTGTCGTCTGTTTTTGTATACACCGTCTGCTTCTAAAAATGACTCACGCTATTTTAGCCATCTCGTGACAAATAGCTGGAATCAGTTTCTTTCAGGTATCTCTCTGGGGACTGCCGAACCCCCCCCCCCCCCTCTCGCGACGGAATAGAGACATTTTATTTATATAGATATCTAGATATCTATTTAACCATTTGTACGCGTTTTTTTTATCATTCAAACTGAATCAAGTCTGTACATTGCCGCTATTTAAATAAAACAACACAATCAGGAGTGCATTTTTTAAAATTTACGTGTATATACTCTTATGCATTGGTTGTTTTTTGGTTTTTCCTAACTGAAAAAAACGATCAATTTCCATTTTATATGCTTTAGTTATTGAAAACTTGAATGGTCAATGCGGGCAATCAGTAATTTGGCTCAATTCCTTGGTTTAAATCAAGGAGGGTTACCAAAAACAGATCAGCCAGATCAAACGCAGGCGAGAGTTTGGTAAGTTGAGGACCGCTGATTTTGTACGTGGGACGCCATGTCCCCGGGAGAGTTTGGTAAGTTGAGGACCGCTGATTTTGTCCGTTAGTGCAATACGTGTGACGCCATGTCCCCGGGATCAATACCCCACATCCCTAACAGAGCTAGAGATAACTCAGTGTTAAGTTACTCATTAATTAACGCTGATTGTGGTAGCATGGCGAGGCCACTATTTATAGCCAGTTAATAGCTCACGCTGCAAACAGAAAAAAAAAGTGTAAATGGCACCAACAACATCAGCGATGCTCTAAAGTTTCCTAAGGCGGTACTCGATACCCACTGTTTATTCCACGACCTTTAACCAAGAAGATATTCACCAACAACATCAGCGATGCTCTAAAGTTTCCTAAGGCGGTACTCGATACCCACTGTTTATTCCACGACCTTTAACCAAGCAGATATTCACCAACAACATCAGCGATGCTCTAAAGTTTCCTAAGACGGTACTCGATACCCACTGTTTATTCCACGACCTTTAACCAAGAAGATATTCACCAACAACATCAGCGATGCTCTAAAGTTTCCTAAGGCGGTACTCGATACCCACTGTTTATTCCACGACCTTTAACCAAGAAGATATTCACCAACAACATCAGCGATGCTCTAAAGTTTCCTAAGGCGGTACTCGATACCCACTGTTTATTCCACGACCTTTAACCAAGAAGATATTCACCAACAACATCAGCGATGCTCTAAAGTTTCCTAAGACGGTACTCGATACCCACTGTTTATTCCACGACCTTTAACCAAGAAGATATTCACCAACAACATCAGCGATGCTCTAAAGTTTCCTAAGGCGGTACTCGATACCCACTGTTTATTCCACGACCTTTAACCAAGAAGATATTCACCAACAACATCAGCGATGCTCTAAAGTTTTCCTAAGACGGTACTCGATACCCACTGTTTATTCCACGACCTTTAACCAAGAAGATATTCACCAACAACATCAGCGATGCTCTAAAGTTTCCTAAGGCGGTACTCGATACCCACTGTTTATTCCACGACCTTTAACCAAGAAGATATTCACCAACAACATCAGCGATGCTCTAAAGTTTCCTAAGGCGGTACTCGATACCCACTGTTTATTCCACGACCTTTAACCAAGCAGATATTCACCAACAACATCAGCGATGCTCTAAAGTTTCCTAAGACGGTACTCGATACCCACTGTTTATTCCACGACCTTTAACCAAGCAGATATTCACCAACAACATCAGCGATGCTCTAAAGTTTCCTAAGGCGGTACTCGATACCCACTGTTTATTCACGACCTTTAACCAAGCAGATAATCTGGGGACACCCTGTAACAAGTAAATATTATAGGGACCCCTTAAACCAAGAAGATATTCCGGGGACCCCTTTTACCAAGTAGACATTTTGGGGATCCCTTTAATTAAGTGCTCTGAGAACCCGACTTAAACAAAGTAGACATTTATGGGGTGGGGGCGAATTCTACCAAGTATATTTTATGGGGGGCCCGAATTCAACCAAGTATATTTTACGGGAGCCCGAATTCAACCAAGTATATTTTATGGGGGGGGGGGGCCCGAATTCAACCAATTATATTTTACGGGGGGCCCGAATTCAACCAATTATATTTTACGGGGGCCCGAATTCTACCAAGCATATTTTACGGGGGGCCCAAATTCAACCAAGTATATTTTACGGGGGGCCCGAATTCAACCAAGTATATTTTACGGGGGGCACGAATTCAACCAAGTATATTTTACGGGGGCCCGAATTCTACCAAGTATATATTATGGGTGGGGGGGGGCCGAATTCAATCAATTATATTTTACGGGGCCCGAATTCTACCAAGTATATTTTACGGGGGGGGGGGGGCGAATTCAACCAAGTATATTTTTACGGGGGCCCCGAATTCAACCAAGTATATTTTACGGTGGGGCCGAATTCAACCAAGTATATTTTATGGGGGGGGGCGAATTCAACCAAGTATATTTTACGGAGGGGGGGGGGGGGCGAATTCAACCAAGTATATTTTATGGGGGGGGGGCCGAATTCAACCAAGTATATTTTACGGGGGGGGGGAGGCCGAATTCAACCAAGTATATTTTATGGGGGGGGGGGGCCGAATTCAACCAAGTATATTTTATGGGGGGGGGGGGGCGAATTCAACCAAGTCTATTTTAACACTCGTCTAACCGAATCTGGTGACCCCGAGTATAGTGACAAAAGACTGCGATACTTTTAAAAAAATTAAAATGGTCATGATCCCCAATTGATAACCGCCGTTTGGAAACACACGTTACCTTCGCAATAGCCAGATTTTCGCGATTCTCTAAGATTAAACCACGGCGTATATCAATGCTCAAACATTCCAGTTATGTCAACACGGCCTTTCTCTAATACCTTTACAGTTCTCGGTAGGTTCATGAGTAGTGTATTGTCTCAGAGCAAACACGCTTTGAACAGTAGGCTATAGATCTGTAAGGAGGAAGCTACCAACAATATATGTATGTTTACTTAGTGTACTGACAGCAAATCTAGTGTGTAGGGAATAAGTTCCACACTAAAAATAATTCGACGAATCTCACAAAATACTTCACGCATGACTACTTTATATATAGATCGAACTGTATTTTGGAATTTTTAAGAAATGGTGACCTTATGCACACAAAAAACACATGTAAAATGATATTTAATAAAACAGCGTTCACAGATTTACTATTTGAAAAATCACATTGAAACCACGCTCACGAATTTGCTAAAAATAGCTTTTTAAAAAGACTCACGAATTTACTAAAAATGGCTTTTTTAAAAAGTCTCACGAATTTACTAAAAATAACTTTTAAAAACGCTCACGAATGAATTAAAAACAACTTAAAAAGAACGCTCACGAATTTACAAAAACAAATCACCTTAAAACTACTTTTACAGATTTAGTAACTCTTAAAAAAAAAAACATTGAATGAAGCCCTCAAGAATACTTGTAGATCGAAACTGTTCCAAGTTCATAACATAGTAGATCTAGAAGTCGTCCAATAGTTCGCTCTAAGCAGCACACACAACTCGCTCTAAAATCACGTGACAGTATTATTGAAAATGTCACGTCGTTGACCGCATTGCACCGAGACAAAAACTATTGGAATAAAATGGTAGCACTTTGCCTGGGGCATGACATTGCTATTCGCAAATGCGCACATCCTATTTAGGTTTTGTTTTTTTTAGCAACAAAGTAATGGTAATAAAATGGCATCGCTTGGGGCATGATGACATCGCCATTTACAGTTACGCACATCAAATTTTAAAAAAAAATCATTAAAAAAAAAACGTTTTAATAACACGCTTTTATATTATAATACACTGAAAAGTATAAAATAAATTATACACTACTATTTAAATAACTATAAAGAAAAGCGTGGGTCACTTAAGTACCTATTGGATACCTTTACTAATATTTGAGCAGAGACCCACGCTTTTCTTTATAGTTATTTAAATAGTAGTGCATATTTTCATTTTCTACTTTTTAGTGCATTTTTAGTGCATTATTACATAATAATATTACATAAGTCCCCGGGCGCCGACCTTAGGGGGTGGGGTGCAAATCGAAAGTTTGAGGGGGGGGGGGGGGGTGCAAATGAAAAGTTCGAGGGGGGTTGCAAATCGAAAGTTTGTCCCCTGGCGCCGGGAAGGGTCGCTACGCCTCTGCGTAGAGCCCCCCCCCCCCCCTCTCTCTCTTCACGCCCAACACGGCCGTGATGACGCGTGTGGATAGAACTACCTACTAATTCGGTCCAAATTTTAATTAATTCATAAAAAATGACCAACTACGAACCGTATCTGTCAGTTAGAAGTGCCGGCAATTTCACACGGGCGTTTCGATCTAGACTGACGACAGACGGACGACAGACAGAGGAAGTGAGTTAAATAAAAGCTTGTAAAAACCAAAATCAGTTTTAAAAAAAAATCTAGAACAAAAGAGGCTTGATTTTGTCTGGAACATCAATGCCATTCACAACTTTGGACATGATATTTTAAATCGAAATATGATTTTTTAACACACCCAAAACTAGCTTTTTTTTACATCTAGTTGTAGATTCTTTATCAAAGTATACATTATATTATAAGCTCGATCCTTCCTTCAGACGAGAGAAAGAAAAACGCCGATGAACAATACCAAGCCTTTACCATAAACTTAACCCTAGACTGACCCTACGAATTTCTATCGCAAAAGAACAAAATAAAAAAAAAACTACGATGCAACACATTCTTTTTAGACGGAGCATTATGTTCGTACACCACATAACCCAATGAATGTCGTTTTATCAAACACTGCTGAACAAAGGTAGGTAATTCAAGAGTAACAAGCCTTGGAGTTGTCCATTACAAAACTGAACACGCCAACCTAAAAGTAGCCTCCACTACCGAGATCTATATATACGTCACGAAGACATCTCAACATCATCACTCGATGTACATGGATCGATATGGGCGGTAATGCTCTATTTATAGAACAAGGTTTTTCCAAAAAAATCCCCTTCAGTTTTGCTTGCAGTCTAATCAGAGACTGTACACATTAATAACGCGTGAATTAGAAAGCTTGTTTTTACCCGTCAAAGTGTACACCAGCGGGTACACAAAAGGCATGGGCTGATTGTACCAGGGAAGCTTAGTGAATACCAAGAGCTTTAAGTGAATTAGTGTATTTCAGCTAAGAGGCTATCAACGATTTTTTAAAAAAAAAAAAAGGTGTTTGATATTGAAAACTTTTGGAAAGAATTGGCAAAAAGCGACTCAATAACTGTAATAACATCAGACAACTTTCATTCTGGGGGATATTGTACTAGCCCCCCCCCCCCCCCACCCAACCCCACTCCGTAAACAACTGCTGGCCTAAAAGGGTAACCTCAATTGGTTCTGACTGCATCCTTTTTATAATGTTTAACATAAAAAACATTGTTTTATGAAGTATTTAGTAGAGGTTGTGTAGAATAGTGTCATAGATCAGTGAATGCGATTTCAAGCTTACAAGTTGCTTACAGAATTATTACCATTTTAAAGAATCAAGCGAATAAATAATGTTGAAACTGTAACTGGAGATTATTTTAGGTCAACAAAAAATTATTTTAGTGTATGTTATAATAATGCTTGTGAGAAATTTGTATGAATATATTCATTATACAAGTACATGAGTAGGCCACTTAAAATAAATTGAACCCTCTTAAATACACCATGAATCATTAAAAACAAGCTGCAAAGCCTGTTGCACTGCAGGCATGAGAAATATGCAAAAACATTGCATTCTGAAAAATAATTTTGTTTCCCTTTCAATGTAACTCTTCTTGGCTTGTTCTCGTGTTCTGTATTTCTTTGGTTCTTTCCCCTTTAACTTAGCAAATGGCTAAATATTTTTTTTTACTAATTTTGAAAACAGCCTCTAGGGAAAACCCTCAGACTATAGATTCTGACTGTTGATGCAAAATGAAACTTTGCTTGACACATAAGCTATACACTTGCTGTACTCTAATTTTTACATGCAACTCTACAAAACAATCTGTTTTTTTATTAAGCAGCTGTAAATACTATATTTTGCTTAAATCAAAGTAAAGAATAAAGTAGAAATTGATTTAGCATTGAATTTAATCTTTAGGGTAATGAGAAAAAGAAACATGTCTCACGATTAACACTTTTACATCTACAAACTATTTGAATCTATACAAGTGCAGATGTCTAGCACTTATATGTGGCAGTTTGAAGAATTAGTTCATAATATTATCTGGAAACTCTTGAACATAAGACAGAAATTATCAAGTAAGATTATTCATTATTGGTAATCTATCGTTTTGGGTACGTAAAATCGCCCGCGGCTATTAATGTACGAAAACGTTACCTCATTGTCAAGGCTTTAATAGAAGTATATTGCCATATGTTTGTGTCAAATATTATAGATAAATGAATAATAAATCTAAATCAATGGGTAAATATATCGAAATAGGCCAGAAATTAACTTCAAACAGCAGTGTCTGAGAGCAAGATTTGCTATATAAACAGCAACCATTTGTAAAATAGAGTGGCTTCCCCCTGAATCTCCCGCTATAAGCTTATAAAAATAAAACTTAAACAAGATGGCTGCTATAGTAAATGAGCAAGGTTGCATCTGTTGGAAACATCGCTAGTCTTCATTTATTACTGAAAAGTTTTAATTCAATTGTTTAAAAACAGGTACCTAAATGAAACAAGGAAACATTTTTGTATTTTAAAAAACATAAATCCTCCTCAAAATGTGAAATAATTATTAAAATTTAAGGAGTTCACCTGTTTTATCACATTACAAGTCGCGGGCGATTTTACGTACCCAAAACGATAATTACCAAATTATTAAATGGACACCAGCGAGAAAAGTCTCAAAGGTATTTGAGAGGTCCATAAATTAATTTTAAAATCTTGCACGGCGTAGTTACAATTAATATGGTTATAAAATCCTGTCTTTCTGGGTTTTTTCGGACTTTACTAAAGATTGGATGTATTTGATGTTTTTAATATTTTCGGTAACTAAATAAAAATGTAAAAAAAAGCAAAAACAATTTGGTTTTCATGTGTAATGGCAACATAAACAATGGCATCCTGCTATTCGATAGGCCGCCATAAATTTTATTGTACACATTGTAAGCTAAAAATAGAAAAAGTGGGTCATGGTGTTTAAATTTGCACTGTTATTTAAAAACTTGATCTGCAAAGTTTTGTAAACAAAATAACTATAAAGTGGGGCTGTCAGAAATCGATCACGGAGTTCCTTTACAGCCAATCAATGTTTGTCTTACGAAAGTGAAACATCGGGTTATAACTTAGGCTTGATGAAAATAAATAGAAATGTAGCCTATGAGTATGAGAGAATCTAGAATCAACTAGTCTAGAGTCTAAGTCTAGAGTCTAGACTAGTCATAGTCAAGACTCTAGCTCTAGATTTAGATCTAGATCTAGATCTATTTAATTTTTTATCATTTATTTAATTTATTACTTAGAAGACAATAGATCTAAATCTACTTACTTAGTAGTACACGTACAATAGTTAAACTTTAAATCTAGATCTTGTAGATCTAGTAGTTTGATCTCAAAACTTAACCAACTTATTAGCTTAACTAAACTTAACTTGTTTCTGTTTGCAATGTTTACAGAGGAAACCAGTATCTTCCGGTTACTTAAAAAGATGGAACAGTTGGGCTCTCTAAACTCTCTAGGCCTAAATGTATCTAGATCTAGTATGGATCTCCACCCCTTCCCCCCCCCCCCCCCCCCCCGATTATTACCTCATGCCATTATAGTTCACTATACCTGTTCATTATTATTTTGATTATCTCATTTGCAATTACCACACACTTGAGAATTCATACTTGATATCGGTAAAGTGAAAAATAGGCATTTAATTAAAAAATGCCAAAGTAGTCCTACGCACAATTCCTGCCTGTAGTTTAGGCCTAAATAAAAATCTATATTTATTTGTTCGCTTCTATTGTATGTGCATGATGTACAAAAAACGAAAACGTTGAATTATTCTGTAACGTTCACGGGGTAGTGGTGGGTCAAAACGTTCAGTAAATGCTTAGTATTTATATTTTACTTAGCACGATCCATGAGGTTTTATGTTATTTTAAAAATGTTGAATTACTTCCCCTTATACTTTATGATGTAGGCCTAACCTCCATCATAAAATAAAACGAGGTAGGCCTATCTAGTAGACTCCCCACGATAAAAAAAATGAAGTTCTCTACGCTAATTTACATATGACAATTCACCATAAAATGCACGGAATATTTATCGAAAATAGTGTGACATTTTATATCAGCCTACTGATGGGGCCTAATACGTAGTTTCTATAAAAATTAGCTAATATGAAAATTGAACCGCTTCAATTCAACAATGTATGGAGAGTTTATAAAATTTAGTTGCGATCAATTTCAAGGTTACTATATCTAAATCAATACAAAACGTGACCAAAACTAATGATAATATATCCTATACTAACAAACAGACTAGCCCACCACTTCACGAGTTAAAATTAGACATGACAGTCAGTATTGCCTACTTGCCGTATCAAGCGCCCTATAGGCCCATACTGTTCCTCATTAAAGGATGACGTAAAAAAAAAAGATACTAAGAATCGCTGCATTTTTAAAACCTGTGCTAGTTATAGGACTCACGATACGGGTTTACTCACTGATTTTTTAAATATTTTTTTTACCAGCTTTCTAACAAAAAGCAACACGAAACTTGAAGTTACTGCATTGTAAGTCTAGGTTATCACAAATTATGATGACTCGCTCTTATAAGTTATATATTTGTGAATATCCTGTTACTCTACAGTTAAGGTTCGTTGCTTTCAAGTGATTAGTCGCCCTGCTCTACATAACTTAGTCAAGCAAGACCAACCTTTACGCTGTTTTTTTTTTTAATTTATTTTAAGCACACACAAGTGAGAAACTCCTGTGAACTGTGACTCGTCATTTTTCCCCCACGTCTTTACAGGCGGTTACCCTTTGGGCACTCGGCGCTTTCGCACATTGGTAAGACTTGTAACAACTATAGGCCTACAATAGTGTACAGGTATAGTAAAGTAAGTTGTAGGTCACAGGTAAAGTTGTACACTTGAGTAAAGCTATGGTAGGATAAATGCATTGTATTATTTTTATAGTATGGTAGGTAACAGTTCTAGTATATGGGTTGGGTAAGATAGGTAACAGTTCTACTCTAGTGTACAGGTAAGATAGGTAATAGTTCTATTCTAGTGCACAGGTAGGATAGGTAACAGTTCTATTTTAGTGTACAGGTAAGATAGGTAACAGTACTATTCTAGAGTACAGGTAAGATAGGTAAAAGTTCTATTCTCTAGTATACAGCTAAGATAGGTAACACTAACAGTTCTGCACATGACTAGGAAGGACAGTGACTAGTCATGATTACAGAGACATCCAACTTAGCCAGCATGTTGTAAAGAAGACACTGACTTGAACTCACCATATCCATTGAATCCATAGCAAGACAATTTAAAACATATACAACATCGTATTTGTGAGGGTGGCTTTGGGTCAAAAACATCAACTCTACTTGACCTATCTTGTGAACTAATGCTAAATCTATAAGACAGATCAATCACTATAACAAATGTCACACAACTGCATCCATTGAAAACATTCTACTTGTAGGATACTACACAGAGTTAATTAACAAGGGCAGTTCATGATGTAGTATTAGTAAGCACATTGATATGTAATAATTCGTAACAAACAAAGCAGATATTTATAAATGTCTACATTTAATCTTCATGAATAAAGAAGCACACATATAATGTACAGCTGATGCCAGTAGCAGAATCTTTTCTCTTCTGGTGGTATGGAAGATTGAGTCCTCTTGTTAAACAACATTGTCTAGCTTTAAATTTCAAACTCAAAAAAATAAAGCTTAAAAAAAAAATCACAGATGTTACAGGAAAAAATAGTACATTAACAAAAAAATGAAACCAATGAAATAGATATACTTGACTTAATCAGAAATGGGATTTTAAGAATAAAGTTATCAATACACAATTTTTATTTGTTAAGAGTAAGTGACCTAACCACAGAACAAGAACATCTTGATAAATGACAGCCTTGAAGAGATTTCAAAATGCTAATTATACGGCTTCAACTAAGAAAATGGTACAAAACACGAAACTGCAGTATATTTTAACATTAGAGCAGTTATATTTCAAGATTACAACACAATACTGAATCTTCTGTAACCATATTTTACTAGTAAGCAACCCAACCTCTGCTTAACTTTATAACTGAAAATAAAAAATGTAAAAAGTGCAATGTGAATTGTCTCCCTTGGTTTTTGTATTGATGAGCCTTCTGTCTATGACTAGAAAGCGAACACCTTTTCACACATCGATTCTCACAGTATGTTTAAATGGCAGAGGAATGTGCCTGATATTGTTCAAGTACCTCAAAAAAAAAAAAAAGACTAATAAAAAAAATATACAAATTGCAGCTCAAGTGAATATTCCAGAAATAAAAAAATCTCACTATCTTCAAACATGAGCACTGACATGTACCATAACAAGTGAACTTACAGGTTTTTTCAAATGTATGTGTTTGCACTGGAAGTGCTTGACAAAACTTTTATGGTGTACATATTTACAGCATGGAAATGAAAAAAAAAAGAAAGATGGACTGCATTTACACATCAAGTTGCAAGGACTCGGGCTCAGCTGAAATTTTAAAATTATAAATTTGATTTTGTATTTAAAAAGTTATGACTGCATGCATTTAATGTTTTTGTTTTCAAGCTGAAATAATGCAGGTTGATAATACAATAATATAAATAAATATGTATACAACAATCCCAGCAAGCTTGATTAAGTTGTGAAAATGTTTGTTGCACCATTATAAAATCCAGCAAAAGTCTTTGAACTGAAATGTATCTAAACTAATACTTTATTCATGAGATTTAACAGAACAGTAACCACAACATGTCTTGGGTTAAAGAAAACTTGTTTATTGAAATAAAATACTTTAGTGTTACTACATTTGAGACGGGAATTGAATAGATTAATAAAATTACAGTAAATCTATGTTCTAACAAATGTATGAATAGGTAAATCAAAGAAATACGGTTAAAATATTTGTTGTAATAATAGCAATGCAGCATTTTTAAAGTCCAAATGGAAAGGGACTGTAAAAAAAAAAAATAAAGTAAAAAAATAAAGTATGTTGTACTTAGATTTAAAACTACAAGATATAAAATCTACCTTAAAAACTGAGGCTGAAAATTGTTTATATGTCAGCTCTGATAAAGTTCTAAATCAGTCACAGACATGACAGCTATATAAGTAATGATTCATCTGATAATGTAGACAATGACAGTGAAAAGTAATTTACTATTAACAGATGTAAGTGAGTGGAAGAGTTAAGAGGGAAATCCTTATTTATTGACATGTTAACAATAAATGAAACAACAACAATGAAACAAAACCCAACAAAACTGACATTTTCTACTAATACAATATTTAACAATAAAATGTAAGTACCAGCCTTTGAAAGCTGTCACACAGTTAACATTTAGAACAATTAAATAAAATTAAGAAAAATTAAATCTGTACAAGTTTATGTAGTGACACTTCATCAATCACTCAATGTCAACAGGTCAAAACCATGATTAAAGTTTGTAGCACTTCAAAAACAGAAGCTGTGGTGGGTAGAAAACAAAATATTCACAGCATACAAGGATCTGCCCAACACCATGTCATTTAGTCCTAATGAAAACAGTCAAATACAAATCGTGAATGTTAAATTAAACTACTCAACACTATTTTATAGTATATCATGTCATATCTCATATTTAAATAATATTTGAGAATTTTCTAATGACCTTTTGAACAAAACCAGAGATTAGTGAAAAGCTATAATGTTTCAATGTAAAAGTAAAATATTAAAATGTTGAAACATTTAAAAAACTTATTTTCTTATTTATAACAAAATTTTAAACTGCAAAACTCAAACAAGGAAAAAAATGTGCTTTTTGAAGGGGCATGTGACAAAAATCATAACTATGAAACCAAAACTGAAACAACTCCAAAAACAAGAATCAATCACATTAAAGGGAAAAAAATACAAAAAAGTAAACAAGCTAATTTTTAAAGCAATTAAATAAAAGTATTGTTAATAATAGCAATACAAAATTAATAGGCTGCAATAACCAACCTATCAATACATTTTTCAATATTCTACAGCTTGTTGAGTGATTTTGTATTTCTTAATCAATATTATCTAATTTTACCACTAAAACTAGACTATAAGATTTAATTTTCAGGAAGAAATAAAGACTGATAGCGATTGCTACCATTTTTAAAGCATATATATGCTAAACAATTTACCATAACATTCTATTTTGTACCAGATTTCATAAATGAATGTTGATTTTCATTTTGTGTTTGCTTAAAATTGATTATTTTGAAAATAACTCAGACATTGCTGATACAAATACAAGTCAGATCTCATAATATATCTTCAATTTAAAAATAAAAACCTAGCTGGTGGCCAATGCAAATATATGAAAGTATGGTAAACTTAGACCTTAACACCAAACCCCCACAAATACTGTACAAACACACAGAGTTTATATACAGACAAACAATGGACATTCATAATTCTTCCCACAGATTCCTTTTATGGTATGTATTTAATAAAAATAAAATACCTATTCTTGTTTGAAATTTAAAAAAAAATTACTTTGGAGAAGATCTTTGCATGTTAATAATGAAGGAGGTAGCACAGATGAAGCTGAATGTCACAGTTCACATTACAAGTTTTGAATGCATCAGAATATTTCAATGCTTTTAAAATAAAGTATCCATAAAATAGACTCAATTACAAGATCATATGTTGTTTGGAATAATTAGAACAGAAATGACATGATCAAATACAGCAAAATGAAAATCATGTATATAGTTAAGAAACAGAATGTACATATATTAAGGGATAATGTCTAATTGTGAACAAAAAAAATGATAGCTTTAGAATAAACTTGAGCTGAAGTGCAAAAAACATATCTTCACTGTAATTATATCTTTTTACACTGTATAAAGCTGTCACAGTTTGCCTGTATCAGCAAGGTTGGTTTGGTGCAGCAAACAAAACAAATGTGTCTTTGAAACTAAATCAAATGAAAGTTGGTATTGAAACTCAAAACTTTGTTATTGTTAACTGAATCGTCAAAATATTTCATACAAAAAAGTTCAGGCATATTTTAAGAGAGAAACTTACAAACCAGAAATATACTTCTCTGAATCAAACATTGCATTAACATTTTACTCTGATGATTAAACTTGAAATGGCATTATTAGAAGTAAGAAAATAAACATTTAAAACCAAACAAATTAAAAGACATCCACATCATCATTACTCATGTAAAAATTAATTAACCAGTGAAAGATGCCAGCCAATTCATTTATTCATTGTTAACTGATCAAATCAAAATGAACCATCAAATTATTAAAGTAAATCACAATTTAGCAACAAAAAAAATTAGAAAAGAAAAACAGAGCTTTTATAATGTTATCTTTATCTCATTAAAAAAAATCCCATACATACAGCTATAAAAAGCTAAAACAGTTCAGCTGAACTAAATTTTTGTGTAGAAAAGCCCCCATCCCCCCCCTCCCGTTTTTACTGAACAGTGGAGGCAGTATGTTTTTTTAAACATAGGTTTTAGTGTCATTTAATGCCATCATTTAAATAAACGTAGCCAGAAATTTTAAAACCCTTGTACATAAAAAAAACTATCATATCTTTATTATGATCATTTTGTACTGCTTTTTATAAAAAATTATTTAACTAGTTGACTCGTGGGTAGCAAAAGAGCATTATCAGCATCATCTTATACCTGTTTTAATAATTTTAAACATTCATATCTAAATCTGTATATCAATTATTAGCAAGAGCAAACAAAATGTATCACTAATCCCTGCTTGTTGTGAAAATGTGTTAAACATAAGACTTAGGGGTTGTGTACATGAGATCCCCTTGGCAAATGTCAACCTCTACCAGCAGTAGGTGCAGTGCTTGCATTACATTGTGCTACCTGTGCTGCCTTTTGCTTCAGCATGGTCCAGTCAAATGTGTAGTCATACTGGTAATTTAGGGTTCTGAAGAGGATTCTGAAAAGTTGACGAAGATACATGTAATCTGGGGCCTCTTCAAATCTCAAGCCTCTGCAGTAGTTCAGATACATGGCAAATTCAGCAGGAAAACCCTTACACAGGACTTCAACTGGCGTTGACATCTTTTTCTCACTGATTTTTTCATATTTCTGCTTCTTTGTATTGGCTTTAAGACCTTGCCATGGCAAGCTTCCACGGTTGAAATACATCAAAACATATCCTAAGGACTCCATATCATCTCGTCGACTTTGTTCAATCCCAAGATGTGCATTGATACTGGCATATCTAGCAGTGCCAGTTAAATTTTTATCTTCACGATATGGGATGTGAGTGCGGGTTCTGCTATCTCTGTACTTTTTTGCAAGACCAAAATCGATCAAGAAGACTTTATTGCAATGTCTTCCAATTCCCATAAGGAAATTGTCAGGTTTAATGTCTCTGTGAATAAAGTTCTTGTTGTGGACATATTCAATGCGTCCTATCATTTGATCAGCAAGCATTAGTACTGTTTTCATTGTGAATCTCCTCGAACAAAAGTTAAACAAGTCTTCTAGACTTGGCCCCAGAAGATCCATAACGAGAACATTATATTCCTTTTCCTGGCCATAGTAGCGAATGTGTGGAATACCTACGCCACCTTGTAAAATTTTATACAACTTACTTTCGTATAAAAGTTGTGGATGACGAGCTTTACATGATTCAAGTTTTACTGCTACTTCTTCTCCGTTTGTTATGTTGATTCCCAGATAAATGTCACCAAACGATCCACTACCGATTTTTCGAACAAGTCTGTACTTTAAACCAACTATAAACTCGCCAGACTGTTTCCCTGTACGTTCTTGTGGCTGTTCCATGGTTAAACAATCGAGTTTTGAGTGATTCAAAAGTCAAACAAAACCCACAAATTGTCCACTTTAATGATAGAATTTGGTTGCCATCTTGGGTGTTGCAGCACAGCAATCGTATCCCACAGTTCCAATCTTACCATAATCCCGCACAACGCAACAATGCGCATGTCTCGGCGGAACTTCAACACGGTGAAGAGTTGACGACAAAGAGGCTGGAACACATCTGCTGAAGAGTCAGGAAGCGATGGTATCTAAACAACTACACTGAATTTTTTTACACACTTTTTAATAAACTTGTTAGGAGTAATCTTTTCCATAATGCCAAGGAACGAAATACCTAGACAAGGTTCGCTGGCCATGCCAGAGGTCACAAATCCTTTTGTGCACGAACTTAAATTAAGTTTACTGGATAAAATACAGGTAAGATTTTGAAAAAAATCCTACTTTCATTTTAATGTTTTTTTTAATTCTTTAGTTCGGAAATAGACTAGTCTAGATTTATAAACCCCACTTGGTCACCGTCATGTCTTATTTTATTTCTTCTAAAAAATCTAACAATTTAACATACATTCTACTTGATCTGTATTTTATTAGCCTAGCATGCCTATAAATAGGGATTTTGGTAAAAAAGCACTAATCATCATATAAAAATAAAAATTACATATTCTTGTAGAGCTCAACTATATGAAAACAAAACAAAAAAAATTTTCTGTCTAGCTCAAATAGTTTTTTTTTAGCGAATTTTTTTGTGAGGGGTGGAATCCCCTTACTTTTGCATTGGCCAATTGTGACAAGTCATGGTATACCTGAATAAATTGAGCATAGTTATTTTACTTGCAGTTGTATTTTGTTCATATTTGCAGAGTTTAACTAGAATGGTATATAGAACTTGTAAATGCTGTTGAAATGAATAAAAATAATACAGAACTTATATTTTTGTGTTGGCTTCCTCCCATAACCCCAAAAAACTGTGTGCTGCGCAAATATAAAAATGTTTCTAAAGCCATATTTTATATAAATACAGCAAATGAAAGAACTACAAAGTTAGAAATCTAAAGTAAATGACTTGAACACTGTTATGTGCATATAATTGCCTCATTATTTTGAGCAGGTGAAGTAGAGTCCATCTTTAAGCCATTTTGTTATAAAACTGCTGCGCAAATATGAAAATGTTTTTAAAGCAATATTTTCTATAAATACAGTGAATGAAAGAACTCCATAGTCAGAAATCTAAAGTAAATGACTTGAACACTGTAATGTGTCTATAACTGCCTTGTTATTTTGGGCAGGTGAAGTAGAGTCCATATAAAAGCCATTTTGTAATAAGTGAAATGAAGTTATCAGATCAATGTTTTTATGTGTGAATTGTGTATGGATTCTGATTTTCAGCATATAACTATATCTAAGGGTAAGTAGAACTTGAATACTTAAAATTACAGTTAGCACAATGCTAGTGTTAGCAACAGACAGGTAACGATCTAGGTCTGACTCTTAGTCTTAGTCAGTCTAGTCTGACAAAATTGGATTTTAGGAAAAACATATTCTGCAAAACTAGAACTAGAGCTGAAAAAATTAAAGATGGGTATGTAAATATATTTTGAAATAAAAAATTAGGAGATTTGTTTGCACATTCCATAAGAATGCTGTTGTTAGTTGATCAAACTTAAGGCCGGAAGATCGGGATGAAAAAATATAACAATGGTGGCAACGCGACCTACATACAGTGACCACCTCTAAACGAGTATATCTAATGTCAGAGTCAAAATATCCAAAAACAAATATCATTTCCACATATATAAGATATGTCTGCTCAGTAATCTTCACTCATCTAGAATAACCTTTTAAAAAATCGTGATTCCAACGTATTTGAAACTAGCCTTCATACAGGGGGAAGACCAAAGCAGAGACAGCGTGCAATCAGATCGCTAAGCCATCAAAACAATGGGAAAACCATTCTACTTTTCATTTAACATTAGGAAATGACCTTTTAAACTTAATTAATTACCATAAATTAAAAACTTATTAGTATGCAAAACCAAATCTCGTGCGCCCGGTATCAGAAAGTAATGGGCGATTTCGGGTCATGTTTTTACCGCGATCTCGGCCGATACCGACAACCCTACTATAAATAATAATTTTGGTAATCTATCGTTTTGGGTACGTAAAATCGCCCGCGGCTATTAATGTACGAAAACGTTACCTCATTGTCAAGGCTGTAATAGAAGTATATTGTGATATGTTTGTGTCAAATATTATAGATAAATGAATAATAAACCTAAATCAATGGCTAAATATGTCAATATAGGCCAGAAATTAACTTTAAACAGCAGTGCCTGCAAGCAAGATTTGCTATATAAACAGCGGCCATTTGTAAAATAGAGTGACTTCCGCCTGAATCTTGCGCTATATGTCAATAAAAATAAAACTTTAACAAGATGGCTGCTATAGTAAATGAGCATGGTTGCATCTGTTGGAAACATCGCTGGTGTTCATTTATTACTGAAAAGTTTTAATTCAATTTTTAAAAAACAGGTACATAAATGAAACAAGGAAACATTTTTGTATTTTTCAAAACATAAATCCTCCTCAAAATGTGAAATAATTATTAAAATGTAAGGAGTCACCTGTTTTTCACATTACTAGTCGCGGGCGATTTTACGTACCTAAAACGATAGATTACCATAATTTTAATTCTCATAACTCCACTCATAGAATCATTTTTTGTAATCTTGGGTAGTCTAGAGTCCAGTCTTGTAATAAAAAAAGAGGGGGGGGGGGTTGTGTTAAGATAATCTCTATCGTTTTATAAGCGTAATCCATGAGTTAACTGTTAAGCATGAATACATTGAGTTCAGGTGTTAAGATTTATGTTTGGGAAATACTCACAGACCTTGTTTTTTTTTTATAAAATTATATATTTATAGGACAGGGGCACAGGCCTAGATCTAGCGAGATCTAGATCTAGGCCTAGGTGATCTTCAGTAGGCTAATTAAAGTTGTTTAAAATTAGTTGGTTTAATTCTGTTAATCATCTAATTTTAATACTAATACCTGACCTAGACCACATAGTAAATAGAATGATTTTTGTACTTTTGATTAGGTTGCGGTCATGTCAGTGACTATCGCCCCCATTCGTTTGCTTCTTGTGATTATTCTCCTACTGTTAGCCTGGCCAGTGGCAGCACTTGCTGTTGCTTTTAGGTCAGAGGAGGATAAATTAAAACCAATTACAGGATGGCGATTGTGAGTAAAGCTTTATTTTAAATGCACCTTTCATTTCCAAACCATTTAAAATATTATGCCCCAGTTAAATACCTATTTCTTACAATGCTCGTTTATTTTAATTTTAAAAATCAAATGGCTCTTCACAGTTCTTAATCAACAGAAATTGTTAATTTGTGTCTTCTCATAACTTTTTAATTACACAATTAGAATAAAACCTGAATATTCAAAACTAAGTTGACTATATAACTATATTTCTTAGAGCTTTTACACCCAAAGCTTTTAAAAATCACCAGCATTTAGCTTTTACTTATTACCTCATAAGTATTTTCCTTTAGTGCTAACATTATGTACAGTTTATAGGTAGCTATAAAACAAGAGTTTTTATTCATTTTATGTTGATTCTTTTATTAATAACATTTCTATTGCTCATTATGAACAATTCAATTCCATAATATGTTATTTTATATATTTAAAGAAGTATTTTCTTTAATGCTATATAGATTGCTATCATGACTGTTAAATTTAAAAAAGAACTACTTTTTTTTAAAATATAAAATTATAGGATTATACCTGAAGTTTCCATAGTTGTTTTTTAAACAGCAAGTAATTGTAAAACTTCTGCAGTCCTGTAGTCATTAGAGTGAATCAGTATCAAACTGTAATGTAAATATGGAGTGACTTTTTGTAAATTGTAAAATTGTTTTCTATATATTTCATAATGTGGAAACTTCAGGGTTTTCCTCATGCTACAGCTAATTGTATTGCTTAATCCAAATAATTTTTTATAGATTATTGAGACCTGTTGTACTCTTCCTATGCCGAGGTGTATTTTTTGTTGGCGGACTGTATTGGGTAAAAACCAAAGGAAAGCAGGTCTCATCTAAGGATGCACCCATTTTGCTTTTGGCGCCACACTCATCCTTCCTAGATGCTTTGCCAACAGTTGTTCTTGGTCTCACATCAGTGGTAGCTAAGGCTTCCACTGAAGATATTTTGTTGTTTGGAAGTAGGTTGGCTAGACCTTTTAGAATATTTTAAGCCATCTCAAAAGACAGTGCTGGTAGTAATTAATGTGCAGGTTTCGTTAGGTCATGAAGGATTTTGATTTATAACATAGTAAAACATTTTCACCAAGTCATGCACAAATCATTATCCTTATTTTTTTATATTGTTTTTAATTATCTAAAAACATTAACGTTATATGAAGCTTTATTTAGCAACATTTAAGACATAATGAACTCTGATCTACTTATATTTGAGTTTTTAGGTATCTTCTTAGCTCTAACATGCTATGTTTGTAGTAGTGATACATGTATACAAAAAATGTATATCACCTCACTTTTTTGTTTTACTATCAGCAGTCAATACATTTTTTTTCTCACATGATTTTATAGGTTGGCTACTAAGCCACTCATATTGATAGGGCGTGCAATCATCTTAGCTGCAGGATTTTCTATTGGGCCTGTGCGTGGGGTGAGAAAGTCTGCTTGCGAGGCCCCTGTTGTTGTTGCTGCACCTCATTCTGGTCTGTTTGACATGATTCTCTACTTCTTGGAGACCCCCATGTCCAGCCCTGTGTCGCGTATGGAAAACTACTTAGTTCCTATATTTGGAAGTATGTCTTTAGCCTTAACACAACCTGTGTGTGAGAACAGCAGCTATTTTCTCAGCATTCAGCAACCCTACCCAGAAAACCCTTGTGAACCATACCTGACTGATAACCTCTAATTCTTACAAGTTTCTTCTCAGTTATTTCACCATATTCTTTCCTTATCATTATTTTACATTCCAGGAGCTTTTTTTTTTATTTGTTTGTTACCTTTTTCAACTTTTTGCAAAACTGTACTGTAATGCTTTAGCAAGATTAAGCTATCCCAGGCATAAAACTAAAATGTTTTGTGCCAGTTTCCCTTCTATCATTAGAAGTCACCATGTGACCCTTATATAACATAATGGTGTGTGTCCTGTGTGTTAGTGTTCATCTGCTTCCTGGAGGGGACTGGTGGAAATGGATTGTGTTAACACAAGTGTGTGCTGTGGTTAATTGGCATTAGAGGCAGTATGAATCATCTAGTTAATGATTCCATGTACAATGCTTTGTCTGATTCATCCTAGGTGAACTAAGGCTATTGATTTTATCCCATTCATCACCTTTTTTAAAAACTATTTTTTTTTTAAATCACAGATTTTTAAAAACTATTACTTGAGTATGACAGTGTTACTTTACAGAAAAGTGTGTAACAGTATCTCTTTTGGTTACAAAGTAGTTTGTACATTTTTCTTCAATAACTACAGAGACAATAAAATACTTAAAAAACTTTTTAAAAAACCACGTTTTTCTTGTGGACTAAAAAGTAGAAAATAAATTTTCATACATTTGATGACAAAAAACGTGGGTACGTTCACCATCAAATTTCCCGACCCATCTGCCCGACCCACGTTTTTTGTCATCAAATGTATGAAAATTTATTTTCTACTTTTTAGTCCACAAGAAAAACGTGGTTTTTAAAAAAGTTTTTTTTAAGTATTTTATTTTCTCCTTTTTAGTCCGTTGCTACACATGAAAAACGTTGTTTTTAAAAAAGTTTTTTATTTAGTTTATTTGCTACTATATCTAATGACTTGATTAAGTATGACTTGACTAAGTGTTTATAAATACACGGACTAAAAATCTTGATTCGAACCTGGGTTGTCGCGGCCACAACGCGAAGTACTAACCACTATACGATCACGGCCAGCGCGCTCACATCGATTGGGGCCGAAGTAACTGTGCCAATAGGCCTCCAGTCTTGTCGGTATCTTTAGAAATCATGTCCTCAATTTTATCGTCCTTGGGGCGTAATTAAATTAAGCTAATTACGGTCTCTAATTGCTAGTTTTTATGATTGCATCTGAAATTGTTAGGCGAAAGTAGCCTACATGCCAAATTTCAGATCTATTGAGCAATCAGAAGTGGGCTAATTTTCGATGTCAATTTTAACAACAAACAAACAAATCCACAAATCCACAAACGCGAAGCTGAGTTAAGAAAAACGTGTTAAAAAAGAAAAATCGAATTAAGGTCAAATGCTTATATTTTTAAAAATCCTTTTGGTGTGAATTGAAGGAATCGCGGGTGGTCAGTTTTTTTTCTATGCGGAAATATTTTGTGTGAATACCTACACCGAGATCTAGTTAAATGTGGGCTGTTTGATTGTTTGCATGGCATCATAAAAATATCTGTTGCGCTGTGCGCTCTGATTAACTCTCAACTGTTAGCTCGTTAATATGTAACACGTGTTCGGTAATCTGCTTCCCGGCAATGTTCCATCCCCATCAATTCAACCGGTTCATGTTTTGTATGAAGTGGGCATTACATTAAATAGCCATCGCAATGTAGGCAATATCATATAACCTTAATAGATGAAGGCAGCAAATGCATGGTGTATATTGAATATAGAATCTACTGATGAACAGCTTTCAGTAGCACATGAAGATTACATTACTGTCATTATCTTTGTGAACTAGCAGCTGTCATGGTACGATCCACCGTAACGTCATGCGCAAGAACCACGTTGTACAAAATGACGCCATTCTCCCACCGGCTGTGTAGATGACGTGTTTGTCGAACTCAAGTAAAAAAATGAACAGCTATCGATCACGTTTTGTGTGTGTGTGTCCAAGTTTTGTATGCTGTATTGAATTTCACAAACGATTCTTTACTCTCTTTCCTTCCTTCCTTTCCCGGAGACATTAAAGTTTCAAGAGTAACGTTTGACGCTAGCGTTACATTAATATCATACAGATTTAATCAGGTTCCTCGTCTTTGACCCATAGTATGTTCCCCCACCTCGAGCCGGGATCGCAAATAGCAAACGTTATTTCCCAGATAGAAAACGGTAAATGTTTACACGTCTAACAAAATTCCTTGCCTGCACTAAGAGCAAGGGTGCACTAGCCACAGCGTTTCCATGAATCTTTTCAAGGGTCTCATTTTTGTCGCGTTTAAATTGGCCATCAGTCTTATATTTCTCACACGGCTGTTCGAATTCTCTACATTCATTTCTCGTTCGCGGGCGTCTTAGAATATCAACACACAATCGTTACTCATTCTGCACAAGGGGAAACAAATTGTCGACGCCTCTGTTTCCTCATACCTTTTTTTTTTTTAAATGTGCCGTCAATATTATGCAGGCTGCACAAATGTTTAGAGAAGCCACTGGTTTTTGGCTCCCAGCGCGCCGTCTGTTATATCTTCTAATAAACAACTGATGGACAGTTGAAAGAGATAACGAACTTTGGCTTGAAAAACCAATTACACAATCGGCAAGTTTCTGCCCTCACCGAGTTTCCGCCATGTCATGATTTTGTGATAAGAAAGATTTTATCAAAAGATACGACAGTAATACGCAAGCCCCGTTGTTTAGATTACTCAACTTCTCACTTTTTTAAAGTATCAGTTTCATAAACAGTATACTTCCTCCCCAACTACTGGCTGTTTCCGAACAATGTTTAACATTACTTTCACACACACAAATATTTTTTAAAAAAACGTAATATCGCTCCTTCAGAAACTAGGATGAACCACCCTGAGCTTCTGCCAATTTATGGCTCCTAGGCTATAACCTTGTCACAAGCGGTCTTAAATCACCGATATCAACTATTTAATACCGGTGGCCTTCTTTTCTAAATCCAAAGATTTATGGCCGTGCTATTATGTCAGTCTTCTTTTTAAATTTCTTTTTGAAATTACTTTTCAAATGAAAATTATCTTTTGGTAGCTATTGTTAATGAATTTTTTAATATTTTAATACCACACTTTTCGTCACTGAGCCTCCGTTGAAAGATAAACAAAAATTCTGGCGCCTTCCCTCCTTCTAGAATCCCATACAATATCATTTACCCTAGTGTTTATAGCTATGAGTATAACCCTCACTGATCTAAACGTCATTGGAGCGAAACGCCTGTGGTCGAACATTTTAAATGTAAGTTAATAAAAAAAAAAACCGATGTGATGATAGGGTATAAGATACATTACTGTCTCCAGGCTTTTCCTCTTACGTTATCGTTACAATAGTTGCAACTCGTTTCTTCCGCCCCCTCTCCCTTTCTTATTTTTTAAAAATTGGGCCATCTATATATATATTTTTTTTTTAAATACACAGGTGTAAATGTACTGCTTTATGAAGGGACTTGTATCCTGGTCCGTTTACAGGACTAAACACCGGGGGGGGGGGCACAACCAGTGAAGGCATTTTGGAAGATTCGTGTGGGTTCTAGTATGAACGTGATGTCACCTCTGTTTGTGTCCATCGATCGGTTCCCACAACTGACAGTCAGACGGTCAAAGTAGCCTTTAGTGTTTGCATTGTCTCACGCTCCTGTCCATCACAGGGACCGTGGACTTGTTTCAGTCCTCTCCCGGTCCCGTCGGCATACTTGCCTGCCGTCTACGCCAACTCGCCTCATATCATAGTCGGTGTTCTGGTAGTCGACTGTCGGTGGTTTATTTTTAACAAAACGCTTGAGTAATTTTCATGTGGTGCAATGTTTTATCTATTTCTGGTTACACACCCGAGGCTGAACAATGTGGATGGAAGGAAAAAACGATTTAAAAAGGGTATAATGGAGGGGGGGAAATTAAGTATCACGAGTGGCACTGTCACAAATTATAGACGTCACAAAGAGAAGTCAAGACGTGACTAAAAATAAACCCGTCATGATATAAGCAGGCTACCTTATTAGTTTACGTGTACAAAATGGGCTTCCTTCCCATCCCAGTTTGATTTCAGGATTTTACACGTGGCAGGTGTGACGTTTCATGGGCAAACATCCCGATAGGCCTTTTTTTTTTAAAGAAAAAAATATCTAAGGACTGGTTAAGTACCAGTAGCTTTTGTACGGGCCGATTAGGTAGGCTACCGGTAGCTTTATTCCTGGTCATTTATTTTAAAATATTCTTTTCTGCTTGGCTTCAAAGGTTACAGTACTACTGAATACGCTTAAATTTGTGTAATCGTTAAGGTT